CATACAACAGATACTTGGATAACGATTTTATTATTTGCAACGAAGATAATTATGTCAACAACATCCTAGACGAGTTCAGTAACTATCCTCAACCAGTTAGGTTAAAAATGAAATTAGAGTATGATTCAGGATTCCACTTCTTGGATGTTTTGGTAAAAAAGAAATCTGACGGTTCTCTACAAAGATCGTGATATGGAAAGCCAAGATGGAATGGTCAGTACACGAATTTTCAAAGTAGGGTCCAACTGATATAAAAGAAAAACCTGACCCGTTCTCTCTGTTCGAGGATTAGATGTATCTGCACCGAATATTCAATCAACATCAGATTTGACAAACCGGCACATACTGAGCAAGAACTGATATCCACCAAGATTCATTGAGAAAAATTTAAAGCCAAAGAAACGGCATGTAACAGTTTCCATAGCACAAAAGAAGCCTCTCTGCATGAACATTCAATCTAAGAGAGAAACTGCAGAAGAAATTCTGAAAAACAAATTTCCAAGATCACAGAAAACTTTCTATTCGACTGGACTTCGCATTTTCTAATAGGTCAGTGGTTCAAAGTTGTGAGAAGAGCAAGCTCTCGCTTTGTGCCAAATCAATGTGTATCTATCATTTTACTCAGTCACGTAGAGCAGGTTATATTAACCACACAAAGCTAGCTCTTCCGAAACACATCTCCGAACCTTACTCTCCCTGGCTCTCCAAAGATAACGGAAACTAGTCTAAAGCTCAATCTTAGAGCATCTAGTCAATTCCAGCCATTCTGCTTCACCAGAAGCCTCCTTTTAAATCATAAATACGGTCAGAATAGTCGGTTCACAGGGAATGCAAATGAAAAACTTATGTATAACAGAGGTTCTTGATATCCATTAGTTTACTCCTAACCTTTGCGTACAACAACAGTGTGTTCAGTCCCTCACTCTTCCAATGTCTTGACCTCTGTCCTATCTTCCATTATCTATCTTTCTCATCTCTATTGTATTATTTCTACTCCTTTCAAACTATTTTCATAACTATTATTTGTCAATTATTACAATTAATTATTCTGTTGTTAATGGCTATCAAGTGAACAATTATTTTCAGTTTATCATTTTTTCATTAGCTGATCAATACATAATTTCCTTTCAATATCTGATTTTCAAGTCTTGACAACATAGCGCTTCAAATTTTTAAAAAAATAATTGACACCTTTTCATTTTACTTTAGAATACTGTTTTAGCAAATAAAATTAACCATAAATACGATCATACATCTTAAGTAAATGAAATCGTCGAAAAGAAAGTTTTCTTCGTCAAAAACAAATGAAATGGGAACTATTAAATCATGTCTCTAACATAATCACTCAGAATGATTGCTTCGCAATGTTTAACTCAAGTAGTTATGTAAAAATTAGGGATTCATCAGTCAAATAGTATATTTACTTGACTCCATACATCGTTGGGGGAGAGGAAAAGATTGTGAAATACTCCCTTCTATAATAAGTTAAATTCTAGTTATTAAGATAATAATAATTAACTATGAGATGGTGGGGAAGATTTGTAGCTCAGGTGGATGATTTTGATGCAGTTTTGTTCTCTGAACTGGATGGTTTGGTCGTGGAGCTTTCATCGTTCTTCCAAATGACATCATCAGCACAAACTTCATATTAACAGATAAACAGAAACATGGTTTCACCAGTTTAAGAATTATCTGTATTGTATGAAATATCATTTGATACCTTATTGACTATTCTATATATTATATGAAAATATCCTAGTTTTGAGATAATTATATGCTTATCATCAGTTCATTTAATCATAAATGTAGAAAAAAACATGTGAAATTGTCTGTAATAAGTTTTATTCGTTGATTAAAGTATTGTGAGAATCTGTATATCGAGTATCATAGAGTTAGGATATATTGAACACTTTGAAGTTAACTAGTTAAAAAAATTGTAATCTAACTTTCAACTACAGGTGAGACTATAATTTATGGACGACCATTAAGCGACACCAAAGTGATCTTGAGGATTTCCACCTACTAACTAAGACTAAATGAAGGTTATAAATCAGTGTGAGGAATTCGAATTATGATTTACAGTTGATGGGAAAGGTTAAGGATTTGTTTAGGGTTTTCATCACGAACTGACATCAGCTATAATGCCAAAATGGTATTTGGCCAGATGGACGAATGAATTTCGTACGAAAATCTAAACCTCGTTATTTTATATCCGATTGGTTCCTCCATAAATTATACTCTCACCTAACTTTTATAAACTGTTTTAATGATTTAAAGAAAATTTACTTAGTTAACTATCTTAAAAGTCATAGACCGGATAATAATTTATGTTTCATACAGGTATATTCACTCTGAATGGATAAAGTTGGATAAACTAGGTTGTTCAGATTATGTTAAAATCTGACTAACAGTAAATATCAAGGGTATTGTCATTTATTTATTTATTATTCTATTTAAATAACTAGAAGTGGTTTTCATCTACTCTGGTTGTATTTCAACTAATTATCTTGCTTTGATTAATAACCAATACCAGTGTTGATCTAATTCTGTCTAAAAAGTTGCAGTATGGTGACTAATCAAAATATCCAAACATCATGCGCACCACTTTATGGTTTTAAACGGTCTCAGATAGTTTATAGGGGAACCATGACTTGTTGGTTGGGACTCATCAGCATGGGGTAATTTCAAAGGTAGAGGAACTGATATTACTGGTTGGAACCAAACTCATGTTACTCAATTTCACAGTTGAAAGAGTGACCAATGAATGTCAGTAGAGCTATTCCGTGCTGTCTGATTTTTGTTAGTAATCTAAGAGAGGTCGATGCATGCAAAACAATTTTCAGTTCAATGATTTAAAAATTGTTCACGAACAGTGTCCTGAGAATGTTTACAACTTTATACTACTTATTAGTAGTTAAACGTTTCAAAATTGAAATAACGAGGGTTATAATATTGTGAAATCGAATGTGATAAGGATAGTTGCCACTTGACGAATATGAGAATGGGGAAGTACACATTAAGAACATAAAGATGATAATAACTAATAACTAAAATCAAAATTAATGGGATTAAAAACAGGAGAATTTAATAAAATCAAATGACCATTTCTGAAAATTAATTGTTAGTGTCATGGAAGAATAATAACCTGTGTGTATCTCTTTCACAGAGTTCATGTTTTAAATGATCGATTGCTAGCTCCTCTACACTGCATGATTCATTAAATTGTGCCCTTTTCGAAACGAATTGTCTGGCTGTATAGATGATTTTAAAAGATTTGTGAGATGGTGCCATGTGACCCGAGTTCATAAGATGTTTCAATATTGAACTGTTGATTGATTTATTTTCGCCTTTCGAAAGCCATGAGGGATAATATTCAGAGATGTGCCTGTAAAGCACTTGATTTATGTGTCCTGTGTAACCTGCTCCACATGAGCACATTGAACTGACCTAATGTGTGCTTTACCCTTGACACACCCATGAATGATGAAAGGGCTAGAAAGGATGGTACGAAGCCTAGTGGCATAAAAAAGTTTCCTCAAGGACTTCGTTAGACGATCATTCAAAATTTCTACAGTGGTTCCTTCTTTGAACTCAGCGTTCAGTTTTCCTAGAATCTGTATGAATCCTTATAGATTGTTATTTCGGTTTCATGTTACGTTTAATAAACCTGGTTGGATCATAGTTTTTGGGTAATATTTGTTGGAAGTTGAGTAGTTCCTCGTTTATTTTATCCTCCGAACATGTTCACCTATACCTTCATGATAAGGGTCGAATTAAGTTTGTCTTTCTGCCTAATGGGACTCAGCTGTGAAAATTCGTGTATCATCCGTTCTAAGTTGGTTGTCTGTATAAACAATCTTTCAATGTGCCATCTTGTCTTCTATTTAAAAAGACATCGAGGAAATGAAACTTTGAGTTTGAATTTGATTCCAATGTGAATCAGATGGATTAATGACAACCACTGAACTGATCCTGGATGATATTGAGGTCACTGTTTTTATTAGATATAATAAAGTATTTTATCCAAGAAGGCAATTGTTATAATTTTTTATAAGTTATCTTGGTTTTAAAAAATGGAAAAGTAAACCAAGTTTTATTTTACTCTTGACCTCAGAATACAATAGTTTTCGTTTAATTTGTACCTCTTATACGTCGTTCATATATTCTTAGTAGATAAAATTTACCAAGACGTTTTAAGAATGATTATTTACGTATTTTCACATTTCACAAAATGACAGGATTTTAAGCTAGGTTTTTCACTTCATAAGTCAAGGTAAAGTTAGTATCATACTGAATAACGAAAAGTATACTATCAGTTTAGCTGTTTTGGAGACTAATAAGTTTGAATTGAAATCATGAGTCAATTGAAGCTAGATCACTACGGGAAACCTGTGAGCACTGGACGGTCGTTTCGTCCTAGCATGGGACTCCTGAGCAGTGCGCACCCACGATCCCGCACTCGGCGAGACTCTAACTCAAGACCTATCAGTCTCGCGCCAAGCGCCTAACCAACTAGACCACTGGTGTTAATGTCTAACAATAACACCATTGGATGCCGGCCCGCGAGTTGCCGGATCGTGGATGAGCAGTGCTGGCGCGTCCCATACTGGGACGAAATGGCCATCCAGTGCTTCCAGGTTTTCCATGGTGGTCTAGCCTCAATTGACTTATGATTTCAATCGAAAAGTATACTAGTTAAAGTTGTGTTGTTTTGCTACACAAACTTAATTAACAAAATGATGAATGTATAGAACTCCATACTTTCTTATTTAATTCACGAACAGGGGATTCAGTGTGATTTAGGTGTTTTTTATGTTATATTCAAAAATCCTTTCTTAACATTGGGCTCAATTTAACAACTAAATAATTATGGTATATCTATATTCTCAACAGGAACATATTTTGAGAACTGTCATCAGTAAAATTCTTTCCACAGTTTATATATATATATGTATATTTGTTTCTAAACAAATAAATACTCATAATCTTAATGATTTCAGTTGTATGTTACCAGGACTCAATTATAAAGAAGTTACTTTATACATAATGGATATTTGTACTGCTAGTCAATCACAATGTAGAACTCGACAATGTATTCAAACCTCTTCAATATGTGATGGTAAAGCTGACTGTCTTGATAAGTCAGATGAGGGTAGCAGTTTTTGCAGTGAGTACTTATTTATTTTTATATATATATATCTATTTATCCGTCAAATATGTTCCATTTTTGATTTACAGATAATGATAGTTTATTTAAAGTTTATGATTATGTAATTAGTTTTAAATTTCATTTAGCCAAGTAATTTATAAACTTGATCATTCATAATAAGAATAATTAGCTTTTATCATGTATATAATCTTTGCAAACTCTTCTAACTTGTCTCTACTTTTTATACATTTTTATCTCATATTTTAATTATAATTCAGAATTTCATTTTCCTTTGTAGATGCTGGACTTACTGTGATTCCAACTCGTATTGTAGTTAAACCATCAGAACCTTTTTCACTTAAATGTCAAACTATTTTACCAGGGACCAGAATGCCACATGCACGTTTTGTACATAGTGGTCAAGATGTAGAGTCCGATCCTCGATTTATCATTGAGAGATCTCCAGGTATTCTGCTTATTAAGGCACCATATGGACTTTCAGTAGAAGCCAATGATACAAGAATTGAGTAAGTTGATTAATTTATTTCATAAATTCTTAGTAATAATAGAAAAATAGTTTTTTCTATTGTTGTATTTGGTTGACTGACTACCATAGTTTACGTCTTTCATTGCTTTATCTTACAGATGTTACTTTCCCGATGAAAGCCCTAGAACTGCAATAATCAATGTAGTTACTGATCGATGTGGATTGGGATACTTCATGTGTTATGACGGAAATTGTATACAACAATCTCAGAGATGTGACGGGCAAACTCAATGTCCCGATGGATCTGATGAAATTAATTGTGGTTAGTTCAATGTGCATTTAACAGCTGATTATCAAAAATGCATTTTTGGTAACTACGTACATTTTGGAAAATTTCCTCAATAACTTTCATTTTTTCTTTAGTGGCACAGTTTAGTTTCGATAATGCAATGAGAAGACGAATTTTATCTGAATTATGTGATATATTTGCGCTATAAATTTCGAATAATTTGATCACATGTATACTTGTTAAGACATTTTTATATGAAAATTAAAAGGCCAACCAAACAGGTTAAAGGTGGGCCGTAACAAAGATAAATAATAATGATAAAGTACACAATAAATGTGATTACCACTTTGGATAATAAATCAGTAAAACCAGGGTAGGTTAAGAGTAAGGAGAAATTGTTTTTAAACGCATAAATGGGGTTTCAGTTTCCGTATAGCCAAGGCTTCAATAAATCTTAGTACACGTCCTTGAACGCTTTTGTACAACACTACAAATGCTGACTTGATATCAACCTTATGACCAGTCTTAATCAAATGTTTTGCAATGGGAGATGAGTTCTGTCTATCCTGTGATCATATTTGACCATTGAAATTCATTTGTTTCTGCAGCCATTTTGGTATGTTATCAGTATAGGGGTTGTGGAGATTATTAAGTTTTTGATTGAGATCATGAACCGATTGATGTTAGACCACCGTTGGAAACCTGGAAGCACTGAATGGCCATTTCATCCTATTGTTATACTCTTCAGTAGTGCGCATCCACAATCCCGCTCGCAGGATTCGAACCCAGGGCCTTCAGCTTTGCGCATGAACGCTTAACCTACTGGACCACTGAGCCGCCAGCCAATGGTATTAGCGTCTAATATCAACCGATCCCCGAAATCGCGCGACCATCTTCCATTGTACTGAAGAGTCCCATACTAGAACGAAACGGCCATCCAGTGCTTCCATGTTTTCCGTGGTGGTCTAGCTTTATTTGACTCATGAACTCAACTAATCAATTAAGCATTATAATGAATTGCTCCAAGCAACTCAAGATGTTAATAATGTAACTATTTTTCACAATTTTAAATATCGCTCAATTACTTGAATGACGGTTGCGTAATAGTAATTAGATGTGTAATATACCTAGAAAACAAGAAACAAATACAAACATTAGCATTTATGAAAGATAAAGTAAGTTTCAGATTAAATGATTAGAAATATTTCAAAAGAATAATATTTTCAGTTTATATATGTCGTGCATATGAAGTTAGCAGTGATTTCGGGAGTTTATTGCATATATTTTTAAATACTTTGGTTTCAGTTTGCCAACCACCTAGCATTCTTTGTTCTTCGGGTGAGTGTATTACTCCTGAAATGCGATGTGACGGTACACAACATTGTCGAGACGGCTCAGATGAAATTGGTTGCCGTAAGTTCAGAAATATGTTTTTCTATAGAAGAGTGTGTTATTAAACAAGTGATGGAATTTTGCTGTGTGGAAATTAAGTAAAAAGATATATCCTGTTATAGAGAAATTGAACGCAAGTTCATGCATCATGAAATATCTAGGATTTCGGAATAAAATTTACCAACTACCAAACCTAGTTTTCACATGTAGTAAAATTTCCATAGAAAAAAGAATTAAAACGCTGGTTATATTTTTCCGAGGCTTTGAGATTCTCCTGATAATGAGTTATTGAATCGTAGTGATATATATAAGGTGTTTAGTCAAAACATATAACACAGATAGAAATACTCACCCGTTAAATGTAAACCTACAGGAAGATAAACGTCTAGTTACAACTAATAACTAAATCGCTAATTGTCATGTACAAATTCCTAACGAAAACAGGATTAGAAAAACACCAACAGAGGAAGAAACATGAAATTTCATTAAATCAAAAATAACTCAAACATAAAACAGAAACCATATGCGCAAAAATAAAACAAAAAGGCATATAACCAACGAATTACAAAATGTTTAGAAAATATCGAAGGAAAATGCGCAAGAAAATGCAGCAGTTAGTGATAACCGTCAAAATGCAATGGTTGTGTTGGTGAATGTGTAGTAACCGATCGACTTAAAGGCTGAGCACATGTATGTAACCACTGTTTGAAATAAGAGACTATTCTATAGGGAATTTGTAGCATTGATCCACCGATCTAATACTGAGAGAAGATTTATGCCTCAGTGATTGTTTTGCATGTGGTCATGTTGAATGATTTTGATGATGAAGTGTTCATGGTGAAAATTAACTGAAGTATGTTTATTTGCCAATGAAATTATTTTGCAACAGCTCCTCGTTGTCGTCCTGGTCAATATCAGTGTTCTTCTGGTGAATGCATTGAACAACAAATGAGGTGTGATGGTCGACAAGATTGTCGGGACGCTTCAGATGAGACTGGTTGCCGTAAGTCAGATATCATCTGTATTTCCCATTTTAGCTAGGTGACCATTGAGAAATGTGAGAAATGTGAGAAATGTTAACAGTGACGAAAAACAGTTAGCTGTTTGATGTATTCTAACTGTTCTGACTTCTCACTAATTTTGACTTTATCACTGGTGGAAAGGAGTTATAATAATATATTTTAGGCGATTTCAGGTCACTTATTGTATGTTGATGGAGGGAAATAGAATAGCAATGATTCGCATCATTTCAGTTCTGTTAACTTCAGTTATCTGCTGTTAGTTGATCAGCTATTATATTATTGCCCTCTAGGGAAGTACCTAACCAGTGCTTTCGTTAGACCTCTTATTACGAGTCATGTCCACATTTCGGAAAACAGATTAGTTTTAACGAGTGTACACGACTCCTTACTATTCCTTAGTTTGTTTGCAGTTCGTGTTCACTTGAACTGTTTACAGTAGACGACAATTTTAATAATTGGTCTTCTGATTTATTCTACTGCTTAACTAGCATTGTGGGTGGAGTGTGGGTGTATCGCGTACGGTTGGAAAGTTGTTATATCCCAATTAGCAACCGAATGATACTGCTACGTCTCAACTCGTTGAGACGTTGAAATCACACTCTACAGACCACACAGCACTGAGAAGATTATTCGTTCATTGTGGGATGGTTGAGTTGTCACCGGCTCCCTCGGTCAGTATGAAAATCGTCCAGTCAATGATGAACAGGTCCACCTGATCTTGCAAATGTTCATATGTCTCTGTGTGTATCTGTAGGTAGCTGTATAGTCGAGATTGTGGACGAAACTTATTCTCAGAGCTGGAGTGATCTCACTCAACGCTCACAATTCACTAATCACTGGATATCGGAATGACGGGATTCTTCAATTAACGGCAACAAGAAAAGATGTTCTCTAGAATACGCTCGTCATGTGACATTGCTCAGGTGTCGTTGATGACGTCGATAAGGACAATGGTGACGCGGGCAATGACATCGTAGAAGAGTAAGTAGAATAAGAAAAGACAGTGATGGTCAGGACGACAATCCTGATGATGATAGAGACAGAGATATGCAGAATGGTGACGATAACGACGATTGTGTTTTCTAGAGAAATGCCACCTTTCAAATTGTCATTTATTTCCAGAACTGTGTGATATTATTGTGTTCAGAACTAAATCACATGGTAGAATATGTGCGAGAAAATGCAGCAGTTAGTGATAACCGTCAAAATGCAATGGTTGTGTTGGTGAATGTGTAGTAACCGATCGACTTAAAGGCTGAGCACATGTATGTAACCACTGTTTGAAATAAGAGACTATTCTATAGGGAATTTGTAGCATTGATCCACCGATCTAATACTGAGAGAAGATTTATGCCTCAGTGATTGTTTTGCATGTGGTCATGTTGAATGATTTTGATGATGAAGTGTTCATGGTGAAAATTAACTGAAGTATGTTTATTTGCCAATGAAATTATTTTGCAACAGCTCCTCGTTGTCGTCCTGGTCAATATCAGTGTTCTTCTGGTGAATGCATTGAACAACAAATGAGGTGTGATGGTCGACAAGATTGTCGGGACGCTTCAGATGAGACTGGTTGCCGTAAGTCAGATATCATCTGTATTTCCCATTTTAGCTAGGTGACCATTGAGAAATGTGAGAAATGTGAGAAATGTTAACAGTGACGAAAAACAGCTAACTGTTTGATGTATTCTAACTGTTCTGACTTCTCACTAATTTTGACTTTATCACTGGTGGAAAGGAGTTATAATAATATATTTTAGGCGATTTCAGGTCACTTATTGTATGTTGATGGAGGGAAATAGAATAGCAATGATTCGCATCATTTCAGTTCTGTTAACTTCAGTTATCTGCTGTTAGTTGATCAGCTATTATATTATTGCCCTCTAGGGAAGTACCTAACCAGTGCTTTCGTTAGACCTCTTATTACGAGTCATGTCCACATTTCGGAAAACAGATTAGTTTTAACGAGTGTACACGACTCCTTACTATTCCTTAGTTTGTTTGCAGTTCGTGTTCACTTGAACTGTTTACAGTAGACGACAATTTTAATAATTGGTCTTCTGATTTATTCTACTGCTTAACTAGCATTGTGGGTGGAGTGTGGGTGTATCGCGTACGGTTGGAAAGTTGTTATATCCCAATTAGCAACCGAATGATACTGCTACGTCTCAACTCGTTGAGACGTTGAAATCACACTCTTCAGACCACACAGCACTGAGAAGATTATTCGTTCATTGTGGGATGGTTGAGTTGTCACCGGCTCCCTCGGTCAGTATGAAAATCGTCCAGTCAATGATGAACAGGTCCACCTGATCTTGCAAATGTTCATATGTCTCTGTGTGTATCTGTAGGTAGCTGTATAGTCGAGATTGTGGACGAAACTTATTCTCAGAGCTGGAGTGATCTCACTCAACGCTCACAATTCACTAATCACTGGATATCGGAATGACGGGATTCTTCAATTAACGGCAACAAGAAAAGATGTTCTCTAGAATACGCTCGTCATGTGACATTGCTCAGGTGTCGTTGATGACGTCGATAAGGACAATGGTGACGCGGGCAATGACATCGTAGAAGAGTAAGTAGAATAAGAAAAGACAGTGATGGTCAGGACGACAATCCTGATGATGATAGAGACAGAGATATGCAGAATGGTGACGATAACGACGATTGTGTTTTCTAGAGAAATGCCACCTTTCAAATTGTCATTTATTTCCAGAACTGTGTGATATTATTGTGTTCAGAACTAAATCACATGGTAGAATATGTGCGAGAAAATGCAGCAGTTAGTGATAACCGTCAAAATGCAATGGTTGTGTTGGTGAATGTGTAGTAACCGATCGACTTAAAGGCTGAGCACATGTATGTAACCACTGTTTGAAATAAGAGACTATTCTATAGGGAATTTGTAGCATTGATCCACCGATCTAATACTGAGAGAAGATTTATGCCTCAGTGATTGTTTTGCATGTGGTCATGTTGAATGATTTTGATGATGAAGTGTTCATGGTGAAAATTAACTGAAGTATGTTTATTTGCCAATGAAATTATTTTGCAACAGCTCCTCGTTGTCGTCCTGGTCAATATCAGTGTTCTTCTGGTGAATGCATTGAACAACAAATGAGGTGTGATGGTCGACAAGATTGTCGGGACGCTTCAGATGAGACTGGTTGCCGTAAGTCAGATATCATCTGTATTTCCCATTTTAGCTAGGTGACCATTGAGAAATGTGAGAAATGTGAGAAATGTTAACAGTGACGAAAAACAGTTAGCTGTTTGATGTATTCTAACTGTTCTGACTTCTCACTAATTTTGACTTTATCACTGGTGGAAAGGAGTTATAATAATATATTTTAGGCGATTTCAGGTCACTTATTGTATGTTGATGGAGGGAAATAGAATAGCAATGATTCGCATCATTTCAGTTCTGTTAACTTCAGTTATCTGCTGTTAGTTGATCAGCTATTATATTATTGCCCTCTAGGGAAGTACCTAACCAGTGCTTTCGTTAGACCTCTTATTACGAGTCATGTCCACATTTCGGAAAACAGATTAGTTTTAACGAGTGTACACGACTCCTTACTATTCCTTAGTTTGTTTGCAGTTCGTGTTCACTTGAACTGTTTACAGTAGACGACAATTTTAATAATTGGTCTTCTGATTTATTCTACTGCCTAACTAGCATTGTGGGTGGAGTGTGGGTGTATCGCGTACGGTTGGAAAGTTGTTATATCCCAATTAGCAACCGAATGATACTGCTACGTCTCAACTCGTTGAGACGTTGAAATCACACTCTTCAGACCACACAGCACTGAGAAGATTATTCGTTCATTGTGGGATGGTTGAGTTGTCACCGGCTCCCTCGGTCAGTATGAAAATCGTCCAGTCAATGATGAACAGGTCCACCTGATCTTGCAAATGTTCATATGTCTCTGTGTGTATCTGTAGGTAGCTGTATAGTCGAGATTGTGGACGAAACTTATTCTCAGAGCTGGAGTGATCTCACTCAACGCTCACAATTCACTAATCACTGGATATCGGAATGACGGGATTCTTCAATTAACGGCAACAAGAAAAGATGTTCTCTAGAATACGCTCGTCATGTGACATTGCTCAGGTGTCGTTGATGACGTCGATAAGGACAATGGTGACGCGGGCAATGACATCGTAGAAGAGTAAGTAGAATAAGAAAAGACAGTGATGGTCAGGACGACAATCCTGATGATGATAGAGACAGAGATATGCAGAATGGTGACGATAACGACGATTGTGTTTTCTAGAGAAATCCCACCTTTCAAATTGTCATTTATTTCCAGAACTGTGTGATATTATTGTGTTCAGAACTAAATCACATGGTAGAATATGTGCGAGAAAATGCAGCAGTTAGTGATAACCGTCAAAATGCAATGGTTGTGTTGGTGAATGTGTAGTAACCGATCGACTTAAAGGCTGAGCACATGTATGTAACCACTGTTTGAAATAAGAGACTATTCTATAGGGAATTTGTAGCATTGATCCACCGATCTAATACTGAGAGAAGATTTATGCCTCAGTGATTGTTTTGCATGTGGTCATGTTGAATGATTTTGATGATGAAGTGTTCATGGTGAAAATTAACTGAAGTATGTTTATTTGCCAATGAAATTATTTTGCAACAGCTCCTCGTTGTCGTCCTGGTCAATATCAGTGTTCTTCTGGTGAATGCATTGAACAACAAATGAGGTGTGATGGTCGACAAGATTGTCGGGACGCTTCAGATGAGACTGGTTGCCGTAAGTCAGATATCATCTGTATTTCCCATTTTAGCTAGGTGACCATTGAGAAATGTGAGAAATGTGAGAAATGTTAACAGTGACGAAAAACAGTTAGCTGTTTGATGTATTCTAACTGTTCTGACTTCTCACTAATTTTGACTTTATCACTGGTGGAAAGGAGTTATAATAATATATTTTAGGCGATTTCAGGTCACTTATTGTATGTTGATGGAGGGAAATAGAATAGCAATGATTCGCATCATTTCAGTTCTGTTAACTTCAGTTATCTGCTGTTAGTTGATCAGCTATTATATTATTGCCCTCTAGGGAAGTACCTAACCAGTGCTTTCGTTAGACCTCTTATTACGAGTCATGTCCACATTTCGGAAAACAGATTAGTTTTAACGAGTGTACACGACTCCTTACTATTCCTTAGTTTGTTTGCAGTTCGTGTTCACTTGAACTGTTTACAGGAGACGACAATTTTAATAATTGGTCTTCTGATTTATTCTACTGCCTAACTAGCATTGTGGGTGGAGTGTGGGTGTATCGCGTACGGTTGGAAAGTTGTTATATCCCAATTAGCAACCGAATGATACTGCTACGTCTCAACTCGTTGAGACGTTGAAATCACACTCTACAGACCACACAGCACTGAGAAGATTATTCGTTCATTGTGGGATGGTTGAGTTGTCACCGGCTCCCTCGGTCAGTATGAAAATCGTCCAGTCAATGATGAACAGGTCCACCTGATCTTGCAAATGTTCATATGTCTCTGTGTGTATCTGTAGGTAGCTGTATAGTCGAGATTGTGGACGAAACTTATTCTCAGAGCTGGAGTGATCTCACTCAACGCTCACAATTCACTAATCACTGGATATCGGAATGACGGGATTCTTCAATTAACGGCAACAAGAAAAGATGTTCTCTAGAATACGCTCGTCATGTGACATTGCTCAGGTGTCGTTGATGACGTCGATAAGGACAATGGTGACGCGGGCAATGACATCGTAGAAGAGTAAGTAGAATAAGAAAAGACAGTGATGGTCAGGACGACAATCCTGATGATGATAGAGACAGAGATATGCAGAATGGTGACGATAACGACGATTGTGTTTTCTAGAGAAATCCCACCTTTCAAATTGTCATTTATTTCCAGAACTGTGTGATATTATTGTGTTCAGAACTAAATCACATGGTAGAATATGTGCGAGAAAATGCAGCAGTTAGTGATAACCGTCAAAATGCAATGGTTGTGTTGGTGAATGTGTAGTAACCGATCGACTTAAAGGCTAAGCACATGTATGTAACCACTGTTTGAAATAAGAGACTATTCTATAGGGAATTTGTAGCATTGATCCACCGATCTAATACTGAGAGAAGATTTATGCCTCAGTGATTGTTTTGCATGTGGTCATGTTGAATGATTTTGATGATGAAGTGTTCATGGTGAAAATTAACTGAAGTATGTTTATTTGCCAATGAAATTATTTTGCAACAGCTGCTCGTTGTCGTCCTGGTCAATATCAGTGTTCTTCTGGTGAATGCATTGAACAACAAATGAGGTGTGATGGTCGACAAGATTGTCGGGACGCTTCAGATGAGACTGGTTGCCGTAAGTCAGATATCATCTGTATTTCCCATTTTAGCTAGGTGACCATTGAGAAATGTGAGAAATGTGAGAAATGTTAACAGTGACGAAAAACAGTTAGCTGTTTGATGTATTCTAACTGTTCTGACTTCTCACTAATTTTGACTTTATCACTGGTGGAAAGGAGTTATAATAATATATTTTAGGCGATTTCAGGTCACTTATTGTATGTTGATGGAGGGAAATAGAATAGCAATGATTCGCATCATTTCAGTTCTGTTAACTTCAGTTATCTGCTGTTAGTTGATCAGCTATTATATTATTGCCCTCTAGGGAAGTACCTAACCAGTGCTTTCGTTAGACCTCTTATTACGAGTCATGTCCACATTTCGGAAAACAGATTAGTTTTAACGAGTGTACACGACTCCTTACTATTCCTTAGTTTGTTTGCAGTTCGTGTTCACTTGAACTGTTTACAGGAGACGACAATTTTAATAATTGGTCTTCTGATTTATTCTACTGCCTAACTAGCATTGTGGGTGGAGTGTGGGTGTATCGCGTACGGTTGGAAAGTTGTTATATCCCAATTAGCAACCGAATGATACTGCTACGTCTCAACTCGTTGAGACGTTGAAATCACACTCTACAGACCACACAGCACTGAGAAGATTATTCGTTCATTGTGGGATGGTTGAGTTGTCACCGGCTCCCTCGGTCAGTATGAAAATCGTCCAGTCAATGATGAACAGGTCCACCTGATCTTGCAAATGTTCATATGTCTCTGTGTGTATCTGTAGGTAGCTGTATAGTCGAGATTGTGGACGAAACTTATTCTCAGAGCTGGAGTGATCTCACTCAACGCTCACAATTCACTAATCACTGGATATCGGAATGACGGGATTCTTCAATTAACGGCAACAAGAAAAGATGTTCTCTAGAATACGCTCGTCATGTGACATTGCTCAGGTGTCGTTGATGACGTCGATAAGGACAATGGTGACGCGGGCAATGACATCGTAGAAGAGTAAGTAGAATAAGAAAAGACAGTGATGGTCAGGACGACAATCCTGATGATGATAGAGACAGAGATATGCAGAATGGTGACGATAACGACGATTGTGTTTTCTAGAGAAATCCCACCTTTCAAATTGTCATTTATTTCCAGAACTGTGTGATATTATTGTGTTCAGAACTAAATCACATGGTAGAATATGTGCGAGAAAATGCAGCAGTTAGTGATAACCGTCAAAATGCAATGGTTGTGTTGGTGAATGTGTAGTAACCGATCGACTTAAAGGCTGAGCACATGTATGTAACCACTGTTTGAAATAAGAGACTATTCTATAGGGAATTTGTAGCATTGATCCACCGATCTAATACTGAGAGAAGATTTATGCCTCAGTGATTGTTTTGCATGTGGTCATGTTGAATGATTTTGATGATGAAGTGTTCATGGTGAAAATTAACTGAAGTATGTTTATTTGCCAATGAAATTATTTTGCAACAGCTGCTCGTTGTCGTCCTGGTCAATATCAGTGTTCTTCTGGTGAATGCATTGAACAACAAATGAGGTGTGATGGTCGACAAGATTGTCGGGACGCTTCAGATGAGACTGGTTGCCGTAAGTCAGATATCATCTGTATTTCCCATTTTAGCTAGGTGACCATTGAGAAATGTGAGAAATGTGAGAAATGTTAACAGTGACGAAAAACAGTTAGCTGTTTGATGTATTCTAACTGTTCTGACTTCTCACTAATTTTGACTTTATCACTGGTGGAAAGGAGTTATAATAATATATTTTAGGCGATTTCAGGTCACTTATTGTATGTTGATGGAGGGAAATAGAATAGCAATGATTCGCATCATTTCAGTTCTGTTAACTTCAGTTATCTGCTGTTAGTTGATCAGCTATTATATTATTGCCCTCTAGGGAAGTACCTAACCAGTGCTTTCGTTAGACCTCTTATTACGAGTCATGTCCACATTTCGGAAAACAGATTAGTTTTAACGAGTGTACACGACTCCTTACTATTCCTTAGTTTGTTTGCAGTTCGTGTTCACTTGAACTGTTTACAGGAGACGACAATTTTAATAATTGGTCTTCTGATTTATTCTACTGCCTAACTAGCATTGTGGGTGGAGTGTGGGTGTATCGCGTACGGTTGGAAAGTTGTTATATCCCAATTAGCAACCGAATGATACTGCTACGTCTCAACTCGTTGAGACGTTGAAATCACACTCTACAGACCACACAGCACTGAGAAGATTATTCGTTCATTGTGGGATGGTTGAGTTGTCACCGGCTCCCTCGGTCAGTATGAAAATCGTCCAGTCAATGATGAACAGGTCCACCTGATCTTGCAAATGTTCATATGTCTCTGTGTGTATCTGTAGGTAGCTGTATAGTCGAGATTGTGGACGAAACTTATTCTCAGAGCTGGAGTGATCTCACTCAACGCTCACAATTCACTAATCACTGGATATCGGAATGACGGGATTCTTCAATTAACGGCAACAAGAAAAGATGTTCTCTAGAATACGCTCGTCATGTGACATTGCTCAGGTGTCGTTGATGACGTCGATAAGGACAATGGTGACGCGGGCAATGACATCGTAGAAGAGTAAGTAGAATAAGAAAAGACAGTGATGGTCAGGACGACAATCCTGATGATGATAGAGACAGAGATATGCAGAATGGTGACGATAACGACGATTGTGTTTTCTAGAGAAATGCCACCTTTCAAATTGTCATTTATTTCCAGAACTGTGTGATATTATTGTGTTCAGAACTAAATCACATGGTAGAATATGTGCGAGAAAATGCAGCAGTTAGTGATAACCGTCAAAATGCAATGGTTGTGTTGGTGAATGTGTAGTAACCGATCGACTTAAAGGCTAAGCACATGTATGTAACCACTGTTTGAAATAAGAGACTATTCTATAGGGAATTTGTAGCATTGATCCACCGATCTAATACTGAGAGAAGATTTATGCCTCAGTGATTGTTTTGCATGTGGTCATGTTGAATGATTTTGATGATGAAGTGTTCATGGTGAAAATTAACTGAAGTATGTTTATTTGCCAATGAAATTATTTTGCAACAGCTCCTCGTTGTCGTCCTGGTCAATATCAGTGTTCTTCTGGTGAATGCATTGAACAACAAATGAGGTGTGATGGTCGACAAGATTGTCGGGACGCTTCAGATGAGACTGGTTGCCGTAAGTCAGATATCATCTGTATTTCCCATTTTAGCTAGGTGACCATTGAGAAATGTGAGAAATGTGAGAAATGTTAACAGTGACGAAAAACAGTTAGCTGTTTGATGTATTCTAACTGTTCTGACTTCTCACTAATTTTGACTTTATCACTGGTGGAAAGGAGTTATAATAATATATTTTAGGCGATTTCAGGTCACTTATTGTATGTTGATGGAGGGAAATAGAATAGCAATGATTCGCATCATTTCAGTTCTGTTAACTTCAGTTATCTGCTGTTAGTTGATCAGCTATTATATTATTGCCCTCTAGGGAAGTACCTAACCAGTGCTTTCGTTAGACCTCTTATTACGAGTCATGTCCACATTTCGGAAAACAGATTAGTTTTAACGAGTGTACACGACTCCTTACTATTCCTTAGTTTGTTTGCAGTTCGTGTTCACTTGAACTGTTTACAGTAGACGACAATTTTAATAATTGGTCTTCTGATTTATTCTACTGCCTTAACTAGCATTGTGGGTGGAGTGTGGGTGTATCGCGTACGGTTGGAAAGTTGTTATATCCCAATTAGCAACCGAATGATACTGCTACGTCTCAACTCGTTGAGACGTTGAAATCACACTCTACAGACCACACAGCACTGAGAAGATTATTCGTTCATTGTGGGATGGTTGAGTTGTCACCGGCTCCCTCGGTCAGTATGAAAATCGTCCAGTCAATGATGAACAGGTCCACCTGATCTTGCAAATGTTCATATGTCTCTGTGTGTATCTGTAGGTAGCTGTATAGTCGAGATTGTGGACGAAACTTATTCTCAGAGCTGGAGTGATCTCACTCAACGCTCACAATTCACTAATCACTGGATATCGGAATGACGGGATTCTTCAATTAACGGCAACAAGAAAAGATGTTCTCTAGAATACGCTCGTCATGTGACATTGCTCAGGTGTCGTTGATGACGTCGATAAGGACAATGGTGACGCGGGCAATGACATCGTAGAAGAGTAAGTAGAATAAGAAAAGACAGTGATGGTCAGGACGACAATCCTGATGATGATAGAGACAGAGATATGCAGAATGGTGACGATAACGACGATTGTGTTTTCTAGAGAAATGCCACCTTTCAAATTGTCATTTATTTCCAGAACTGTGTGATATTATTGTGTTCAGAACTAAATCACATGGTAGAATATGTGCGAGAAAATGCAGCAGTTAGTGATAACCGTCAAAATGCAATGGTTGTGTTGGTGAATGTGTAGTAACCGATCGACTTAAAGGCTGAGCACATGTATGTAACCACTGTTTGAAATAAGAGACTATTCTATAGGGAATTTGTAGCATTGATCCACCGATCTAATACTGAGAGAAGATTTATGCCTCAGTGATTGTTTTGCATGTGGTCATGTTGAATGATTTTGATGATGAAGTGTTCATGGTGAAAATTAACTGAAGTATGTTTATTTGCCAATGAAATTATTTTGCAACAGCTCCTCGTTGTCGTCCTGGTCAATATCAGTGTTCTTCTGGTGAATGCATTGAACAACAAATGAGGTGTGATGGTCGACAAGATTGTCGGGACGCTTCAGATGAAACTGGTTGCCGTAAGTCAGATATCATCTGTATTTCCCATTTTAGCTAGGTGACCATTGAGAAATGTGAGAAATGTTAACAGTGACGAAAAACAGTTAGCTGTTTGATGTATTCTAACTGTTCTGACTTCTCACTAATTTTGACTTTATCACTGGTGGAAAGGAGTTATAATAATATATTTTAGGCGATTTCAGGTCACTTATTGTATGTTGATGGAGGGAAATAGAATAGCAATGATTCGCATCATTTCAGTTCTGTTAACTTCAGTTATCTGCTGTTAGTTGATCAGCTATTATATTATTGCCCTCTAGGGAAGTACCTAACCAGTGCTTTCGTTAGACCTCTTATTACGAGTCATGTCCACATTTCGGAAAACAGATTAGTTTTAACGAGTGTACACGACTCCTTACTATTCCTTAGTTTGTTTGCAGTTCGTGTTCACTTGAACTGTTTACAGTAGACGACAATTTTAATAATTGGTCTTCTGATTTATTCTACTGCCTTAACTAGCATTGTGGGTGGAGTGTGGGTGTATCGCGTACGGTTGGAAAGTTGTTATATCCCAATTAGCAACCGAATGATACTGCTACGTCTCAACTCGTTGAGACGTTGAAATCACACTCTTCAGACCACACAGCACTGAGAAGATTATTCGTTCATTGTGGGATGGTTGAGTTGTCACCGGCTCCCTCGGTCAGTATGAAAATCGTCCAGTCAATGATGAACAGGTCCACCTGATCTTGCAAATGTTCATATGTCTCTGTGTGTATCTGTAGGTAGCTGTATAGTCGAGATTGTGGACGAAACTTATTCTCAGAGCTGGAGTGATCTCACTCAACGCTCACAATTCACTAATCACTGGATATCGGAATGACGGGATTCTTCAATTAACGGCAACAAGAAAAGATGTTCTCTAGAATACGCTCGTCATGTGACATTGCTCAGGTGTCGTTGATGACGTCGATAAGGACAATGGTGACGCGGGCAATGACATCGTAGAAGAGTAAGTAGAATAAGAAAAGACAGTGATGGTCAGGACGACAATCCTGATGATGATAGAGACAGAGATATGCAGAATGGTGACGATAACGACGATTGTGTTTTCTAGAGAAATGCCACCTTTCAAATTGTCATTTATTTCCAGAACTGTGTGATATTATTGTGTTCAGAACTAAATCACATGGTAGAATATGTGCGAGAAAATGCAGCAGTTAGTGATAACCGTCAAAATGCAATGGTTGTGTTGGTGAATGTGTAGTAACCGATCGACTTAAAGGCTGAGCACATGTATGTAACCACTGTTTGAAATAAGAGACTATTCTATAGGGAATTTGTAGCATTGATCCACCGATCTAATACTGAGAGAAGATTTATGCCTCAGTGATTGTTTTGCATGTGGTCATGTTGAATGATTTTGATGATGAAGTGTTCATGGTGAAAATTAACTGAAGTATGTTTATTTGCCAATGAAATTATTTTGCAACAGCTCCTCGTTGTCGTCCTGGTCAATATCAGTGTTCTTCTGGTGAATGCATTGAACAACAAATGAGGTGTGATGGTCGACAAGATTGTCGGGACGCTTCAGATGAAACTGGTTGCCGTAAGTCAGATATCATCTGTATTTCCCATTTTAGCTAGGTGACCATTGAGAAATGTGAGAAATGTGAGAAATGTTAACAGTGACGAAAAACAGTTAGCTGTTTGATGTATTCTAACTGTTCTGACTTCTCACTAATTTTGACTTTATCACTGGTGGAAAGGAGTTATAATAATATATTTTAGGCGATTTCAGGTCACTTATTGTATGTTGATGGAGGGAAATAGAATAGCAATGATTCGCATCATTTCAGTTCTGTTAACTTCAGTTATCTGCTGTTAGTTGATCAGCTATTATATTATTGCCCTCTAGGGAAGTACCTAACCAGTGCTTTCGTTAGACCTCTTATTACGAGTCATGTCCACATTTCGGAAAACAGATTAGTTTTAACGAGTGTACACGACTCCTTACTATTCCTTAGTTTGTTTGCAGTTCGTGTTCACTTGAACTGTTTACAGTAGACGACAATTTTAATAATTGGTCTTCTGATTTATTCTACTGCTTAACTAGCATTGTGGGTGGAGTGTGGGTGTATCGCGTACGGTTGGAAAGTTGTTATATCCCAATTAGCAACCGAATGATACTGCTACGTCTCAACTCGTTGAGACGTTGAAATCACACTCTTCAGACCACACAGCACTGAGAAGATTATTCGTTCATTGTGGGATGGTTGAGTTGTCACCGGCTCCCTCGGTCAGTATGAAAATCGTCCAGTCAATGATGAACAGGTCCACCTGATCTTGCAAATGTTCATATGTCTCTGTGTGTATCTGTAGGTAGCTGTATAGTCGAGATTGTGGACGAAACTTATTCTCAGAGCTGGAGTGATCTCACTCAACGCTCACAATTCACTAATCACTGGATATCGGAATGACGGGATTCTTCAATTAACGGCAACAAGAAAAGATGTTCTCTAGAATACGCTCGTCATGTGACATTGCTCAGGTGTCGTTGATGACGTCGATAAGGACAATGGTGACGCGGGCAATGACATCGTAGAAGAGTAAGTAGAATAAGAAAAGACAGTGATGGTCAGGACGACAATCCTGATGATGATAGAGACAGAGATATGCAGAATGGTGACGATAACGACGATTGTGTTTTCTAGAGAAATGCCACCTTTCAAATTGTCATTTATTTCCAGAACTGTGTGATATTATTGTGTTCAGAACTAAATCACATGGTAGAATATGTGCGAGAAAATGCAGCAGTTAGTGATAACCGTCAAAATGCAATGGTTGTGTTGGTGAATGTGTAGTAACCGATCGACTTAAAGGCTGAGCACATGTATGTAACCACTGTTTGAAATAAGAGACTATTCTATAGGGAATTTGTAGCATTGATCCACCGATCTAATACTGAGAGAAGATTTATGCCTCAGTGATTGTTTTGCATGTGGTCATGTTGAATGATTTTGATGATGAAGTGTTCATGGTGAAAATTAACTGAAGTATGTTTATTTGCCAATGAAATTATTTTGCAACAGCTCCTCGTTGTCGTCCTGGTCAATATCAGTGTTCTTCTGGTGAATGCATTGAACAACAAATGAGGTGTGATGGTCGACAAGATTGTCGGGACGCTTCAGATGAAACTGGTTGCCGTAAGTCAGATATCATCTGTATTTCCCATTTTAGCTAGGTGACCATTGAGAAATGTGAGAAATGTGAGAAATGTTAACAGTGACGAAAAACAGTTAGCTGTTTGATGTATTCTAACTGTTCTGACTTCTCACTAATTTTGACTTTATCACTGGTGGAAAGGAGTTATAATAATATATTTTAGGCGATTTCAGGTCACTTATTGTATGTTGATGGAGGGAAATAGAATAGCAATGATTCGCATCATTTCAGTTCTGTTAACTTCAGTTATCTGCTGTTAGTTGATCAGCTATTATATTATTGCCCTCTAGGGAAGTACCTAACCAGTGCTTTCGTTAGACCTCTTATTACGAGTCATGTCCACATTTCGGAAAACAGATTAGTTTTAACGAGTGTACACGACTCCTTACTATTCCTTAGTTTGTTTGCAGTTCGTGTTCACTTGAACTGTTTACAGTAGACGACAATTTTAATAATTGGTCTTCTGATTTATTCTACTGCTTAACTAGCATTGTGGGTGGAGTGTGGGTGTATCGCGTACGGTTGGAAAGTTGTTATATCCCAATTAGCAACCGAATGATACTGCTACGTCTCAACTCGTTGAGACGTTGAAATCACACTCTTCAGACCACACAGCACTGAGAAGATTATTCGTTCATTGTGGGATGGTTGAGTTGTCACCGGCTCCCTCGGTCAGTATGAAAATCGTCCAGTCAATGATGAACAGGTCCACCTGATCTTGCAAATGTTCATATGTCTCTGTGTGTATCTGTAGGTAGCTGTATAGTCGAGATTGTGGACGAAACTTATTCTCAGAGCTGGAGTGATCTCACTCAACGCTCACAATTCACTAATCACTGGATATCGGAATGACGGGATTCTTCAATTAACGGCAACAAGAAAAGATGTTCTCTAGAATACACTCGTCATGTGACATTGCTCAGGTGTCGTTGATGACGTCGATAAGGACAATGGTGACGCGGGCAATGACATCGTAGAAGAGTAAGTAGAATAAGAAAAGACAGTGATGGTCAGGACGACAATCCTGATGATGATAGAGACAGAGATATGCAGAATGGTGACGATAACGACGATTGTGTTTTCTAGAGAAATGCCACCTTTCAAATTGTCATTTATTTCCAGAACTGTGTGATATTATTGTGTTCAGAACTAAATCACATGGTAGAATATGTGCGAGAAAATGCAGCAGTTAGTGATAACCGTCAAAATGCAATGGTTGTGTTGGTGAATGTGTAGTAACCGATCGACTTAAAGGCTGAGCACATGTATGTAACCACTGTTTGAAATAAGAGACTATTCTATAGGGAATTTGTAGCATTGATCCACCGATCTAATACTGAGAGAAGATTTATGCCTCAGTGATTGTTTTGCATGTGGTCATGTTGAATGATTTTGATGATGAAGTGTTCATGGTGAAAATTAACTGAAGTATGTTTATTTGCCAATGAAATTATTTTGCAACAGCTCCTCGTTGTCGTCCTGGTCAATATCAGTGTTCTTCTGGTGAATGCATTGAACAACAAATGAGGTGTGATGGTCGACAAGATTGTCGGGACGCTTCAGATGAGACTGGTTGCCGTAAGTCAGATATCATCTGTATTTCCCATTTTAGCTAGGTGACCATTGAGAAATGTGAGAAATGTGAGAAATGTTAACAGTGACGAAAAACAGTTAGCTGTTTGATGTATTCTAACTGTTCTGACTTCTCACTAATTTTGACTTTATCACTGGTGGAAAGGAGTTATAATAATATATTTTAGGCGATTTCAGGTCACTTATTGTATGTTGATGGAGGGAAATAGAATAGCAATGATTCGCATCATTTCAGTTCTGTTAACTTCAGTTATCTGCTGTTAGTTGATCAGCTATTATATTATTGCCCTCTAGGGAAGTACCTAACCAGTGCTTTCGTTAGACCTCTTATTACGAGTCATGTCCACATTTCGGAAAACAGATTAGTTTTAACGAGTGTACACGACTCCTTACTATTCCTTAGTTTGTTTGCAGTTCGTGTTCACTTGAACTGTTTACAGTAGACGACAATTTTAATAATTGGTCTTCTGATTTATTCTACTGCTTAACTAGCATTGTGGGTGGAGTGTGGGTGTATCGCGTACGGTTGGAAAGTTGTTATATCCCAATTAGCAACCGAATGATACTGCTACGTCTCAACTCGTTGAGACGTTGAAATCACACTCTTCAGACCACACAGCACTGAGAAGATTATTCGTTCATTGTGGGATGGTTGAGTTGTCACCGGCTCCCTCAGTCAGTATGAAAATCGTCCAGTCAATGATGAACAGGTCCACCTGATCTTGCAAATGTTCATATGTCTCTGTGTGTATCTGTAGGTAGCTGTATAGTCGAGATTGTGGACGAAACTTATTCTCAGAGCTGGAGTGATCTCACTCAACGCTCACAATTCACTAATCACTGGATATCGGAATGACGGGATTCTTCAATTAACGGCAACAAGAAAAGATGTTCTCTAGAATACGCTCGTCATGTGACATTGCTCAGGTGTCGTTGATGACGTCGATAAGGACAATGGTGACGCGGGCAATGACATCGTAGAAGAGTAAGTAGAATAAGAAAAGACAGTGATGGTCAGGACGACAATCCTGATGATGATAGAGACAGAGATATGCAGAATGGTGACGATAACGACGATTGTGTTTTCTAGAGAAATGCCACCTTTCAAATTGTCATTTATTTCCAGAACTGTGTGATATTATTGTGTTCAGAACTAAATCACATGGTAGAATATGTGCGAGAAAATGCAGCAGTTAGTGATAACCGTCAAAATGCAATGGTTGTGTTGGTGAATGTGTAGTAACCGATCGACTTAAAGGCTGAGCACATGTATGTAACCACTGTTTGAAATAAGAGACTATTCTATAGGGAATTTGTAGCATTGATCCACCGATCTAATACTGAGAGAAGATTTATGCCTCAGTGATTGTTTTGCATGTGGTCATGTTGAATGATTTTGATGATGAAGTGTTCATGGTGAAAATTAACTGAAGTATGTTTATTTGCCAATGAAATTATTTTGCAACAGCTCCTCGTTGTCGTCCTGGTCAATATCAGTGTTCTTCTGGTGAATGCATTGAACAACAAATGAGGTGTGATGGTCGACAAGATTGTCGGGACGCTTCAGATGAGACTGGTTGCCGTAAGTCAGATATCATGTTTTTCCGTTTTCCGTGTTTAAACTTTTGGATTTGCGTAAGTTTTCTACGTTGATTTTTTCGTATACTTTTAATTTATTATTGTCTGTTTTTTGTTGTGTTACGTATTTGCTGTTTCTCGTTTTGTGTATACTTCCTTTTATTCTTATTTTTTCTTACATTTTTTTTATCTCCTTGCGTTTGCTTTGTTTTTTGTGTGTTTCTTTATATGTATATTTTTTACTGTTTCTGCTTACTTTTCTTTGTTTTTTATTTTCACTCTTTTTGTTTTTCTCTGGTTTGTTTTCTTGGACTATGTAAACTCTATAATATTTTCTTTTTTCTTGTTGAAGTCATAACTCATTTTCTATAGGACAGTGTTTTTTTACTCATATTTTCATATTATATCATTATCTGTCAAATTCCTTGGTCGTTTCCCAACACTCTAACATTTCGTTTTCTACATATACCAGAAGTTATAATAATTCGTTTTTGCAGCTCTAGTCTATATGTTCTGAATAGTAACATTTTTTTAAACGTTATAGTTTTCTATGGATATAAATTTTATCTAAAAATCCCTTACTCCCATCAATCAACCCGTACCCCATTTCCACCAATCAAAAGCGTTGTTATAGTCGGTTTATTAAATACCCAATTATCGGAACCATAAAAGTAGTGAATCTGGTTCGACACCATCGGTTCTAGTCTATCTTGTCGTCAGCTATGTATATTTCAAATAGTGAAGCTTATATGGCTTTCAGTGAGGTGTTCGTTGGTTTATGATTTTTGGCGGAAGCAGAACTCCTGATGCAACTGAGAGCATATGAGAAAGTGACTGGATGAAATTTCATAATACGAGACAGTCATCGAAAGCCAAATGATTTTTACATTAAATGTGTATGCGAAGGGAAGTGTCATCTTTAGCATCCGAAAACTTTTCAGGAAACTCGAAGTATTTTTCGAGGTAGGTTCTTTATCCATAGGTTTAGAAAGCCTCCTAGTAGTAGTTGTGAACCTGATGTATTTGTGTACGAAAATTACAGGAAGAAAATAAGTGTCCAAGATGTATTCGACATGCGAAAACGTTTGTTTGGACGATCTGAACTCTGAGGTCAGTCTAACCTTGATTATTATCTGTACTAGGTAGGTGATTTTGAGACGTAGACTGTAGATCAATGAGTGGAAGAAATCAACAGCAGAAGTGACGTTTTGAAAAATGTAGATCTGGATGCTACAATATCTACTGATAACGGTAAGGACAGAGGTGAAGCAAATTTCCTGGGCTTATTGAAATATCTGATGATGAGAATGTTGGCATTATTTGTTCTAACCATCAAGTGCGGAAAAAGGTTTTTATGGATGGGTCAGATGTAGATGTTCGAGATGCAGCACACCCCGTTATCTTGTCTGTTCTGTAAGAGCTGCTGAGGGTAACCTCCCATATATGGAATGTTAAGATTATGATATGTGGTTATTGGTTCTACAGATGGATGAAATATTGAATAATACTCTTCATGTTATTTTATTTTGCATTTGATTCTAACTGGAATAGTTTTGTGCAATGTTTTATTGTTTACCTTGATTGTTTCCGTTTTTAGGAGAACGAGTAAATATTCGTGTAGTGCCAGATATCATTCATACACAGCCGTACGAAAAATGGAAGTTTGAATGCTCTGTGATAGGTGCAGATATAGAACCAATAGTCAAATTCCAAGATGGTAGACTTGTCGAATCAGATCCTAACTTTCGAGTTACTCGCATTGATCCCAACACTGTCAGCGTTGAAGCGATTCATGGCTTAACGGAAAAAAAGGAGCGTCTTAGCTTCATGTAAGGAGATTCGCCATGAATTCTCTCATTTATGTATCTTTTGATTAAATTAATATACTTTGCAAGCTGAATACAGACTTAATCCTCAAGTTCCTTTCTTAAGAAACAAGTTTTCCTATGACTTACTCAGTTGAAGGTTTTGAAAACTTTTGATGGTATTTTCCATGATGATAATTTTCCTGCTGTACAATCTTTCTTAGGCTATATGCTAGAATGTTTAATCGAATATTATTTACTAGCCATCTACTTTTTTAGAACTGTTTGATACTTTCTAGGAACCTATTAGAACAAATAAGGACTCATGAGTCTATGTATTGAAATTTTTGACGATCATTAGGACGATTAGCAATAAATCCTGTTTTCACTGATGCTTTCCTTATCCTTATAGACGACTTATTAATGATATTCTTAATTATTTATTCTCATTACGTTTATGTAAGAGGAAATTAATTTTAACAGTGAAATCATCATGCCAGTTTTATTAGATAAATTCCAAGGTTACTTGTTAAATAAACTATCATGATCTCAAATATTGAAATTACTACAATCTCCACAAAACCCCTTCTGATACTAATCAAAATATGCTCACTAGTGACTGGCTTCAAGATATATATCCTAGATTTCTAGTGAGAAGCAGTGAGCAGTGGAGTTCAACCAGGTCAGTTGTGGGATAGGACTTCACTGATAACAATGGTGTATATGTCGCTCGATCTCGTGGATTAGTTAAAGCTAGACATTAACACCGTTGGATGCCGGCCCAATGGTCTACTGGTTAGGCGCTTGCGCGCGAGACCACTAGGTCCTGGGTTCGAATCACGCGAGGCGGGATCGTGGATGCGCACTGCTGAGGAGTCCCACAGCAGGGCGAAACAGCCATGCAGTGCTTCCAGGTTTTCTATGGTGATCTAGCTTCAATCGACTCATGATCTCAACCATTGAAATTACTACAATCTCCACAAAACCCCTTCTGATACGAATAAACTATCATTTAAACAAATGTTAATACCATTTCTTAATTTTATGGTATAATATACTTGGTTAACGAAATTATTGCTTCTTAAAATTACATCAGATAGACTTTTTATGGAGAACATTGCCGATTATGATGTAACCCTGGCTTGATATTTTCATGGATATGGATTACCATGAAAATTTTTAAATATACTCTTAATAAAAGGAGTTTTCTCGGTACATTGTTTCGATGCCTATATGAAAAATGTGTACCTTTTTTAGAAACCTAACTTAATGGTCTAGTTATCCTTAAAACGATCCCTTTAAATTATGACGAGTACATTCAACTATTAAAAATGTCTATAAATCAGAAAATAGTATAAGATTGTCTAATAGTGAGATTATAAATAATGAACGATGGTAAATTTATGACCATCTTTTAATGACAAATTAATTCTACTTAAGTTAATATGGCTTCAAAATAAAGTCCACATAATAAGGACCAATTAGGTTTATTTTTTTTAAAAAACGGTGAAATACAATCATAAATAAAAAGATTAGTTACGATAAAGAAACCCCATCTAACTGTTGAGTTACATTCGTCTTCATCATAAATCAATATTGTTAGATACTGTACAGTACTCATAAAATTATTGAATGTAACTCAAACTACTTGATATTGAATAAACAGTACTTTATACTATACAAATAAACGGATGTGATCCAGAAATGAAGACTAATTTTAACACATTGTATATAATGATACAGTGTATTGTCTAATTTATTTGAAGAGTAAATGTACATTACCGAGTAATTCAGCGATTTCATAAAATTTAATTAAATGGTTCTTTTGCATATATCTATTTCACTATCTATATTAAATATGTTAAAAATCAACGAAACCTCTCTAATTATAATAAAATAGTACAATCAATTTTGTAGTGAACAGAACACGGGTAGGGACAATCGAGTTGTCTCACATTTCATTGTTCATGAGTTTTCTAACAAATTGCATTGTGTTCCCGCCCTTCCTTTCTTGATCTTCCTCCATCTTCTGCTGCCAGACATTACATTTTTAACTCGCGTCATATACTACTTACATCAATATAAGTAGCACGCACCACAGTTTGAATATCAAGCTTAGTTTCATTCATAGTTTAAAAGTTATAAACCAGATCAAAATGTTAAACTTCTTTGATCATTTTATTGTTTGTTTTAAAATCGAAAAATCTTTACATATTTTATTTCTTTTTGATTTGATGGTGAATAATATCTTACCTGCAAATCAATTGCTAGATATAAAGTAGTATTACTAATGTAATTCTTGCTAATTATTTCACAGATGTACATTCCCTGGTGGACCAGAGGAGGAGATAGATGTTTATGTTCGACGACGATGTCCTCATGGTGAATTCATGTGTAAAGATGGAACATGTCTTCCAGAAAGGGATTTTTGTAACGGTCGAGTTGATTGTCCTGATGGTTCAGATGAACGACCTCCATATTGTAGTAAGTTTAAATAAACTATTAAATACTTTATTATTGTCTTAATATTTCAAATTGTTTCATTCTTTACAAAGAGTAACTAATGAGCTCTATCTCAAATTTACCAAAACTCAATTAATTTTTTTATATATTGAGATCTTATTAGCTAAAAATTACAAATGCTTATTGTAAGTCATATCCTACTGTTTAAATTTAGTTGCTTATTAATCATTTGTTTATATTAAAAAAGATACAAAGCTATAATTCATATCTGGTTGGTCTTTGTTTTTATATAAATTTATTAATAACTAAATAAGAAATGATATATAGTTGTCGTTTGTGTAAGTGTATAATGTTTCCTGTAGATAATATGTGAAATTTATTATTACATTCTAAGTACTCTAGTTTGGTCAAATTGATATCATTAATTTTGATGGAGTTTTGTTCTCTGAGCTGGATGGTTTGGTCGTGGAGTTTTCATCCTTCTTCTGAACGACATCATCAGCACAAACTTCAGATAGAAGTGAAGTGTTCGAATTTCTTCATATACGTTTCACAGCTTATTCTGTACATCTCGACGTTGATTGGTTCTTATTGACCTTAAATTTGTCATTGTTTACTTCAAAATCATCCACCTAAGCTACAAATCTTCTCCATCATCTTGATATTATTAATATTATTTTCCACATTCATTAGTTACTATGGTTTATGAAGTATTTACTATGTTCATATGAATAGAGGGTTATTTCATAAATTAGAGAAGTGATATAAAATACTTCAGTTTCTGATCAAACAAGCAGAACTTCTAATTATAATTTATACTGGCTAATTTTTAACACATATGGTTATTGTAATGAAAGTTTACAACTAATCTTCTATTTATACTCTGAGATATCTATCAATTCAGCTATTTCATATCGTGATATTTGCTACTGATCTTAACAGATATAAGTAGTATGTATCGTCACTCAAAAGTGAAATGCCCAGAGACATAAGGTTAAGAAGATTAAAGTAAAGAGAACGAGAATGAAGAATGATTGGTGTGGAATCGAAAGAAAACTGAAGTTTGAGACGATTGATTAACATTTTTCAAATGAAATACTTACTGTATGGTTCTCAGATTTTACTAAAATATTCTGTAATTTTGCATTCAAGTACATTCGATTATCCTCAATTGTGTTTTCGTTCACTACAATATTACTAGTCAATACTACTAGTAGTCTAGATTATTAATAACTTAAATATTGATAATTTTTTTCCATAATTAATACAGTGAAATTTGGAAAACATAAAGAGATGAACTCTTTCTCATCACCTTATTACTGTATTGTTTGTTTTAAATATGACACCGGTCTATTATGTTTCTCTAAAAACTTGTTTTATATTTAAGTAATTTTTTATATCCCTATGAGAATAATGAATGGTAACTGTTGGAATCTATTTCTGGACTAATACAATACGTATATTTTTATTGTATAATTGTTAAATAACTAAACCATTCATATTCGTGTTTCTCTTATCATAAGCTTTATTTTGAATTATGAACCATTGTTATACGATTTATCATTCTTGAGTTACACTCAGTCTGTCTCCCACAATCACAGCCACATTTGGCTAAATCTTGTACAAATGTCATTTCTGTTTGGTTGGTATATAAACCCAGTATGTTTGAAACATATGATTCATATCGGAGAGGTTGAGATTGGTGTTCTGAACTTAATAGGCAGGGCTAGGTCGGATGCAGGACCGACTTCCCGTATAAGTTTTATGCGTCATTGGTCCGGTCGATAATTCACTGTTCTCTAATTGGCGTTATCATTACGTCATACAATAATAGGACACAAGGCACAAGTAATAACATAATTCAATTCACCTAATTACATCAAGTAATTATGTTGCCAAGAAAAGAACTGTACTATAAATTTTTAAAAAAAATTACAGTAAAGTCATAGAGAATATTATTTCAATGTTTTATTATTGTAGATTTATATTTACCTCTATTAAACTACACAATATCCCTTGTGAATATATTTTTTTTCCAAATAAAAATAATTAACATTTTTATTTTATAAAATAGGGGAAATTGTACAAGTGGAAGTTAAACCAAGCATTATTCATGTTCAACCGTATAAACGTTTTGAATTTGAATGTATTTCTTATGTTCCTGGGATAAAACCAGAAGCTCGATTACCTAGTGGTATACTTGTAAGTCAAGATCCACGTTTTAATGTAATATACCTTTCACCAAATCATCTTCAAGTAAATGCAATATATGGTTTAACAGATAGAGATCATCCATTCCAGATTTAGTAAGTTCTAATCTGTAAACTTATTTGAATAACTATATATAACGTGAATGGTTATTAATAATTATTTCAAATACAAGTGTAATCAACCTCCATCACTTGAGAATTCATTGAATAATGTGTTAGGTATAAAATCTTATCCTATCCTCATTTGGATATTTTTTATCAGTCACCTATTGTAGTCAAGTTAAATTATATATAAATAATCACTCTTAATCTATTGTATTCTCAGACTATTCATGTTTATCTTGCATACAGTTAACGAAACAATTTTTGTTTTGATTGTAGTTGTATATTTCCTGGATTAGAAAATAGAACTGCTGTAATAGAAATTGAAAGACCTTGTCCAAGTGGACAGTTTCAATGTATGGATGGACGATGTTTACCATCTAATGTATTTTGTGATGGCAAATCGGATTGTTCAGATAGTTCAGATGAAAATGAACGATACTGTGGTAAACAAGTTCTTAGATTGTTATTTTTTTATTATTTTGTAATCCTATTTTGACTTTAATAGTCATATTTCATAGCAAAAGTTTGATAGGTCTATCGCAAACCATGAATTAATCTTTTTGAATAGAATTTTACGACACTTTATGTTTTCACTGTTTGAGTTTTTCAACTTCGGTGAGTTGAAGATATGAAAACCGAATACACAAAAATGAGCAAGAATTAAGCAGACAGTGACACGGATTGGCAAATTTTTTAAAGGTAACAAATACAAAATCCATTTATGACCAAAGATGGATAGTGGCTAGCAGTGAAATCTAAGACTCGCGTTTCGTCCTATTTGGGACTCGTCAGCTGGATGTACCTGCATCTCAGCGTTGATGTTCACTCTGGGATTCGAGCCCAGCATCTCTGCCTATAATGCTTGTTAATTAATGCAATATCTAGGCAATATGCACAGTATGCACATATGCCAATAACAGACTGATCAATTTCAGTCCTAAACATCAGTGGGAAGATTCAAGTAAAACAATACCAAGTGAATCAAAATCCATTTAGTTTGAACATAAATCCACTTAGAGTAGGCACTTCATAAAATAAAAATATTAAAGAAATTATTCTAAATTGTATAACTTACTACTTTTGAGGAATATCTTATTATTAGAAACATTTATTTTCAAAAATATCAGAATCCGCGTGAAATCAACCTTCTAAATACTTCAGGATATTGGCTGAAATGATATAACTCAACCCTCGTCCAGTACCATTTACGATTGTTTTCATATTCAGGTCAATGGTTCCTCATAATTACAACACAAGAAAATCCATTTTCAGTTTATTCTGTTTTTGACTGAAAAAACCGTAAAGGGAAAATGAATTGTATTATTTAACTTTTACCAAAATGTTTAAACTTTTGAAAATAGTCAATCTTTTCATCCATTTATAATAAATCGATGCACAGTGTGCACCATACTACTTGTGCCGATGACTAATTTATGTCCTCCACTAGGGCAGCTCTTAAACTTTTATGACAATATGATATTCAAACAATAAAATTTTATAGCCATCACTTGTAGGAACATGAGAATAGTAGAGCAAGAACGTACAATCTGATAAAATTCAGTTTATACTTTCATCGTAAAATCATTTAAAGACTAAACATTCTCAGATAGGAGGACATTTTTTTTCCAATATCCAATCCCACGTTGAGAACGCGAATTAATTCATTACACCATTGTTATAAATGAATGATATATAAATTCATTTGAAGATAATTCATATTAAGAGATGACATGATTTGAAGACGCATTAGAAACTACCTAGTTCGTGAATGAGAACTCACATTCCTACACGGGATATCACCCAAGACCCCCAGTTCTGATGGCCAACATTAGCGCCCTTAGACCAACTAGTTGAGATTCGGATGTCTGATTGTTTCAATTTTTATCAGTTTGTAGTTTAGAGGAAATTACATCAAATGGCATCAATGGATTATCATTTTTCACAGTTTGAGATGAAAATTACATTTAGGTTGATAGGAATCTCCACAAAATTCCTATTATTCGACTTCATACTAACTAGCTGCAGTAAAGTTTAGTGTAACCAAAAATTGATGCCTTGAAAACACTATATTGTTGATGCTAAAGCCAAATACAGTCTATGTTCCGCAATGTCTTCACCTATAGTCTGGCCTACGATAAAACTATCAAATCAAATCTTAAAGCATCTGGAAAATAGTTGTCATATTTCTTTCTACAGATTTTGTATCACTTCTTTTATTTTAGCTGTAAACATCAGAGTGACACCAGGTTCGATTCGTGTAGTCCCATATCAACGTTTTCAACTCGAATGTTCGACGTCAATCCCAGGCGTATCTCCTCAAGTAACGTTTGACGAGCGTTCAGTAGAAAGAGATAATCGTTTTGTTGTTACTCGTCCAAGTCTTCAAACTATAGTAGTGACAGCGCCAACTGGTTTATCAGAAATTGGTGCACACAGATTTAAGTAAGAATTAAATCTAATCCATTAATTATAATTTTCTAGTAGTAAACACTATTCATTTTAAAAGGTTTATAGCGTATATTAAGCATAAAATTATGGATTTTTCAAACAGCAGTAAATTCTCACCTATCAGTAGAGTTTATAGTTTGATTAATCTACACACTAGCCTCTGCATCAGTAGGCCTCAACATACACCAAGGAAAAAGCGAGATCCTCGAATACAACACGGAGAACATCAACCCAAACACACTTGATGGCGAAACTCTGGAAAATGTGCAATCCTTCACGTACCTGGGAAGCATCATCGATGAACAAGAAGGATCGGATGTAGACGTAAAGGCGAGGATTGGCAAAGTAAGGGCCGCATTCCTACAATCCAAGAACATGTAGAACTCAAAACAACTCTCAACCAATATCAAGGTCACAATCTTCAATAGAAATGTCAACACAGTTCTACCATACGGAGCTGAAACTTGGAGAACTATTACGACCATGATCAAAAAGGTACAAGTATTTACAAATAGTTGTTTACGCAAGATACTCAATATTCATTGGCTGGATACCATCTGCAACAGCCCACTGTGGAGGAGAACAAACCAGTTCCCAAATAAAGAAGAAATTAAAAAACGATGTTGGAAGTAGATAGGACATACATTTCGGAAATCATCAAACTGCATCACGAGACAAGTGATAACTTTGAATCCTGAAGGGAAGCGGGAAAGTGGCAGGTCAAAGGGCACTCTGCCTTGAGAATTGGAAGCAGACATGAGAAGGATGAATAGCAACTTGAAAGGACTGCTAAGGACAGAGTTAGATGGAGAGTGCTTGTGAGCGGCTTATGCTCCTTCACGAGGAGTAACAGACGTAAGTAATTAAGTAATCTATACACTCTTAATAATTATTCAAAATACGTTAATTTGGTCAAGATGGAGAATTTTTCAGTTGTCTACTAAGATTATATAGATTTACTTGAAAAGAAAGATAGAACTGAACTAATCTCATTATCAAAGATGAGATGTTTTTAAAAAAATTAATGATGTACATACAGAAGTCATTGTTGTAGTGTAGTTATAAAGTCAATCAAGAAGTCTAAACCAGTTGAATTTAGTATAGTGAATGTAAATGATACAAAATATTTCATCAAAAGAATATTGTTCTATTTATAAGTTATAATACCTAGAATAGAGTCGTTCATAATTAGAAGTATTTAATGTTAAGTGATAAATTATTGTGAGTATTATAAACTCATCATTTGAAACAAGAATTAATAAACAGTGAATGGTGTTTACTTCCATGTCGTACTGCGAAAATGCTGGTTAAAAATTTTACAGACAGAGCTTTCGTCTGTTCTATATTTGGCATGAAAAATAGATTATCAGTAAATATTTATTCTAACTTACAATAAATTAATGTGTTACATTTTCATTTAGTTTAATGGAAACAATCACCGATATATCCAAATAAAGCTTCATTAAGATCCTACATTACATTTAGACGTTTATGAGAATGATCATAAATCAACAGTATAGAAACAATATTTTTTTTCGACCGTTATATGTTAATTATAAGCAGAAACTATGGAAATTATTGATTTGATGGGAATATAATTTAAATGAGCTGTATCGTTTATATTACTGTTTACTAATGATCAATAACCAACCAATTCTTTTAGAAGTCGAATTCACGAGCCAATCTAAGCTAGACCACTATTTAAAACCTAGAAGCATTGAACAGGAGTCTTGTCCCAGTGTGGGACTCCTCAAAAGTGTTCATCCACAATTTCACACTCAGTAATCGAACACAGCAATTTCGGTATCGCGCTATAGATCACTCAGTCAGTATCCAAAGTTATTAATGTTTGACTTCAATCACCCCATGATCTTGCACAACCCTTCATTTTTTGTCTGAGGTGGATAACTCTTTCACACTTGACACGGCCTGGACTCCATTGGTCATGGTTCCTCAATAAAACTCCAGGAGTTACGTCTTGAACCTAGTCACTAGCGAGCACACGATCATGATCGTGGATGCGCACTACTGAGTCCCATACTAGGATGAAACGGCCACCTAGTGCTTCCAGGTTCTCAATTATGGTCTAGTTTAGATTGACTCGTGAATTCAACTAGTAAAATGCTCCAAAATTCATAAATTCTCTTAATGATAACTGAATTTTCGCCAAATTTTAGGTTAAGCAAACTAAATCAGCATATTTAATATGACCATTGTAAATGTAGATTAAGAAAAGGTTTCTTTACAGGAAACGTTATCGTAAACGGTAACTGACTCGACTAAGCGAATATTCGAATATTACTTCTATGACAATAGAAAATGTCAATCTATAGTAAATTATTATAATGTTGAAACTTTAATTGATCATTTAAACTCAATGGCTAGTGAGAATCTCAATATTTATATTTATAAGCGAATTAAAATGAAATTTTACCTATTATTTAATTTTCTTAGATGTATTGTATCCGTAAATATTGTTAAAGAAGTCGATGTAGAAATCATAAGTGAATGTCCACCTGGGCAATTAAAATGTAGATCTGGTGAATGCTTGCCAAGTGCAGTATTTTGTGATGGGAAGTATGATTGCCCAGATAGATCAGATGAAGATCCAAGATCATGTGGTAAGATTCTCTGTTTACTGAAATAATGATATTTCATCTTACTTTACAATCATTAATATTCATTCAAGCGATAGATTTGGTCGATTCTAATCACTAAAGTATAATGTTTATCTAAACGATAGTAATAATAGCCTTTTTTGTAAGTTTTCTTTTTGTATGTTTATCTGAAGGACTTTGATGGAGTTTTGTTCTCTGAGCTGAATGGTTTGGTCGTGGAGCTTTCATTGTTCTTCTGAACGACATCATCAGCACAAACTTCAGATAGAAGTGAAGTGTTCGAATTTCTCCATATGCGTCTCACAGCTTTTTCAGTACACCTCGACGTTGATTGGTTCTTATTGACCTTAAATTTGTCATTGTTTACTCCTTTGTTTTGGTTGTGTCTCTCAGTGGTTTGATTTTCGTCCCTATATTTGTGCATAATTTTCTTGATTGGTTGATAAATTGGATCGATTACGATGTGCTTGTTGATTGCTGATTGACCTGAGTGCCAGGCTTCTAAAAATTCTCTAGTGTTTTTGGAATTTCCTCTGTCCAAGACTTTCACATTTTTCCAATCGAATGAGTGTCCGCAGTTGTCCACGTTTATTGATATAAGTGAGGAAGTATAATATAATGGTTTTAGTTTGAAAAATTAGCCACATATATTCAACATGTGATCTTCTGATAGGCTAAGACAATATGAAATGTAGCATCGAAACAAATTATTTCACGTAACTCTTATGTTGAAAACTCTGGATTGTTATGATGGGATAATCATTCGGTAAAATACTAGTATGACTGACTAAACCGTAAAGATTATTTATTCGGGAATAGTACCGTTGAATTCTAACCAATCATTTTTCACCAGAAAAACCAGTTAACTGTTATTTATAAACAAAGTATCAGATATCAAATACTTAGTGGATTAATAGTGAAAATGACTATCACAAAAAGAAGTGAGAGAGCCATCGTTTCTTCTATAGTACAAAAGAGTAGTGATGAAATAAACTAGTTTAATGAATAATAATACCAAACAAATGTTTGAGAAATCCGAACAGTATAAAGAAAGAACAAATCGAGACTGCTAGTGATATTTTGTACTGGTAACATTGAAAACAATAAATCATATTATATTCAAACATCCTAGACCCTATTCCAGGTTATTTTTGACAGGACAATGATAAGTTGCAGTAGCTAAAAAACACGTTGATAAGTCTGTCTAATTTAAAGCGGGCACAATAAATTATTCTCATATTTCATCCGTCAAGCACATCCCAAACCATCTAGTGTCAGAAACACTACATACCGTTTCAGTGATTAAGATTCCTACACGAAACACACTTTAGTAACCTGTGTACATAGCATTTTTTAAAATTTTCTAGATGATTCACTTATTCAATCTAGTATTATCCTTAGTGCTTCTGTATGACTTTCATCATGTTTCAGACATAGATATTAGAGTACCTTAATAATGGATATTCTCTTTGCAATTGATAACTGAGTTGAAACATTTCAAAATTATTTTTCATGATTTACAAGAAATAGCTTAATTATGTGATAAATAAGGACTCTTCTTCTATATGAATAGAAATAATCATGTGTGCTTCACAAACTCTGTTTTGATTAGATTAGAGTTTGACAATATCAGACTTCTGAAGTAGTAGATAATTAACAATGTTGTTGAAATGAATAAAAATATTTCATATCAGTGTTTAAATGCTAAGCATTTTCTTTTTATTCTCATTTTCATTTTACTGAAATCAGTTCCTACAATTATTATTACTCCAACAACAATTTTAACAAGACCACATGAATCTTTCCAATTTGAATGTAAATCAGTTATGCCAGGTGGTGAACCAAAAATTACACTTGAAGGTTATCCAGTTGAAAATGATCCCAGATTTACAATTGTACGTCCAAGCCGTGAACATGTTATTGTTCGAGCAGAAAGTGGTATTGCTGATCCTGGAAAATATTCTTTCACGTATGAAAACATAGTATACAACTAAAAATTCGTAACAATCACATTTATTATACAACTATAAAATTCCTATCCTAAAATATATTTTATTATTGTTTACGTGCATAAAGATAGAAATCAAGTACTAGTTGTGAGATTTGATAGTGCTAACTATTTCTCACTTTAAGGTGTACTTTGAAAGGAAACGTTACTGTTTAATTTTGAAAAACAAGCCTTACTTTCAGTGTATCACATCAGATATAGTCTAATTTATAAATTCATAAGTTCTAGAGTTTAGTAATTAAAAAGTGTACTTATGAAGATTTAAATTTAAGATTTTACGGTCAAGTGAATGTTTATAAAATAGGGTCTATGCAATATCACAGATTGAAATCATCAGTCAATTGAATCTAGACCAACAAGGAAAACCTGGAAGCAGTGGACGGCCGTTTTGTCCTAGTACGGGACTCCTCAGCAGTGCGCATCCACGATCCCACACCCCGCGAGATTCGAACCCAGGATCTATCAGTCTCGCGCCAAGCGCCTAACCAACTGGACCATTGAGCCGGCATCCAATGGTGTTAATGTCTAACTTCAACCAATCCACGAAGTTGCGCCACCGTATACGATTGTCTTCAGTGAGCTGATATCTCACGGGGTGCGGGATCGTGGGTGCGCACTGCTCAGGAGTCCCTTACTAGGACGAAACGGCCATCCACTGCTTCCAGGTTTTCCATGGTGGTCTAGCTTCAATTGACTCATAATTTCAATCTGTGAAATTTCTAAAATCTCCACAAACCTCTTCTGGTATATGCAATATAGCCGTTCAAATCAAAATACACTGATCGAAATAAATAAATAAATAAAATAGAGTGGACTACTGAGCTAACTTGTTAAAACATTTTGCTAAAACACTATTCTCCGAAATCCCTCTACATTATTACTTATGTGATAAGTGATTATACTGTCTCTTATTTCGTCAGAATTTGAAGATTCACTAATTTGACACCATTTGTATTCAGTGATAACAGTTTCTTTTGTATTTATGTAAGTTCGAGTGAGTTACCTGAGACCTATCTTATATTTTAATGGAAATTCCAATTTTTTTTATATGGGGAGTGTTATATTTTTTTATTCCATCACATTAAGCATGTTATTCTTACCATGGTTTTCTAAAAAAATATCCATGGTCTAGTAATTCCCATATAGTGTAATCTACCTAAGACACAGTGTGCATTTCAAATTATTATAAGAATTCAACAATAACTACTGTTCCATTAATCCAAAACAACTTTGATTTATTATAAACATATGAAACGATATGTATCTCTCACCTTATTTCATACATTCATTAGGTGATGTGATTATTTTTATGCTGTATATTCTTGATTAACTTGGTGGTATCACTGATTCGTAAATAAACTAAAGTTGGTGAAGTGAGACTTCAATTGGTCACTCATTAGTTGAAAACCAAAAGCTTCGACTGCTAAAAACTACTATTCTGTAAGCGTTGAAACCTAGATATGAAGTCTTTTAGTTTATTTAAATGAAATTTCTATTTCTTATCAAACAGACTGGTGAAATGATATTTATGAAGTAACATTTCTGTTAGCACATAATTCCCGATGTTCATAACGTGATCTGCTTAATGTAAAGTGTTCTTAACGCAGAAAAGACTTAATCAACATGACTTTTATTCTGTAACACTAACAGATTGGTAGAGTTTCAGACAAATAAGCATTTTTTTCAATGTATAGCTGATGTAAAGTAAAAAAAATTATAAGTAGTGTCCATAACACTAAACTATCAGTTTAAAGAAAGTAATTCACTAAAATTACTTAGATTCCTACTTAGTTTTTCTTTAGAAATCAAACTTGTTTTATTAAGCTTTTGCACTTTTGATCTGCACACTTGATATCATGAAGCGATTAAATTTCAGAAATAATTCCACTTATATATATATATATATATATATATATATATATATATATATATATATATATATATATATATATATATATATATATTATTTTAAATTCAGTTGTACCGTAGTAAGTGCAGCTAGTAAGACAATTGTGGTACAAGTTGAATCAGTATGTCCACCTGGTTATTCTAAGTGTAAAGATGGAATGTGTATCCTGGACAACCAGTTTTGTGATGGGATACTTCATTGTCGAGATGGCTCAGATGAAGACAAGTTACGGTGCCGTGAGTTGAACATATTTATACATTGATATTTAATTGTTAAATAAAATATTAGGAAAACTAAATGCTATGAATAATATCTTATCCACTAAACAAAAGTTTAGAATATATAAATTATGTCACTATCCATTTTCACGAAGATGTTAAAGAACCCAAACGAGAGCCTGAACAAACATACAAAATATTGGTTATCCTGCGAGATACAATGTAATACGACTGAATGAATACGAAATAAGTTTAATGGAACTACAGATGAACACGTCAAATAATAAGTCATACTACTGAAAACCACACAAACATTTATTTATTCACAAATTTAGGTTGTAACAGTTCTTCTATTGGCTGAAAATAACTAAGTTATATGAATTAAAATGATTGTTCAATCAATCATATAAAACGTTATGTCTTTCAATGATTTTTCACTTGAATGTGGCATAAAACCTTACTTGCTCCTGTTACTCCCAGTGGACCATAGGCCGCCGACCAACATTGTCCAACCCACTTTGTCCTGGGCTTTCTTTTTTAGTTCTATCCAATTGTTGTTCATTCTTCTCATGTCCGTTTCCATTTTTCGGCGTAATGGGTTCTTTGGTCTTCTTCTTCTGATTTGGCCTTGAGGGTTCCATGTGAGGGCTTGTCTTGTGACGCAGTTGGGTGCTTTCCTCAATGTGTGTCCTATCCACTTCCAGCGCTTCTTCCTGATTTCTTCCTCCGCTGGGGTCTGGTTTGTTCTCTCCTACAGTAGGTTGTTGCTAATAGTGTATGGCCAACAGATCCGAAGTATTTTGTGCAGACAACTGTTAATAAACACTTGGATCTTCTGGATGATGACTTTCGTAGTTCTCTAAGTTTCCGCCCCATACAGTAGAACCGTCTTGACATTTGTACTGAAAATTCTGACTTTGGTGTTGGTTGACAGTTGTTTTGAGTTCCAGATGTTCTTCAACTGTAGATATGCTGCTCTTACTTCACCGATCCGCGCATTCATATTTACATAAGATCCACCGTGTTCATAATTGATGCTGCCCAGATATGTAAAGGTTTTTACATCTTTCAAGTCTTCGCCGTCAAGTGTGATTTGATTGATGCATGTTGTGTTGTATCACAGAATCTTGCTTTTCGTTTTGTGTATATTGAGACCTACTGCTGCTGAGGCTGCTGCTACACTGGTCGTCTTCTCCTGCATTTGTTGTTGCGTGTGCGATAGAAGAGCCGGATCACCTGCGAAGTTTAGATCGTCCAGCTGCATCCTAACTATCCACTGTATCTCGTGCTTCCCCCCTCTCAATATGTTGACGTCGTTGTAATCCAGTCGATCACCACGAGAAAGAGAAAGGGTGAGAGTAAGCAACCTTGCTTGACACCGGTCTTTACTTCTAACGAGTCTGTGAGCTGTCCTCCATGCACGATTTTGCAGTTTAATCCATCATAATGAAAATCTAAATTATTTCAGATTTTGTTATTCAATTCTAATGTGCAAAGGAGATATGTTTTCACTCATGAGAGTGGGTTTTTTTCATATCTTGTTAACGATAAACTATTTGAGTTAGACTGATATCATAACATTTTCTCTTGTGCTTAATTAATTCAATTGGTGACACAAAAAATATCACAGCACTCAAAACCATTCAAAAATCTAAGCACATTTTGAAATCTCTACTCCCAGAGATTGAAGACTTCTAAAAATCCACTTGTTTTTTAATAAATGTTCTGATTTGAATGTCACATAGAGTAGAAATTTCATTCATCACACAAAAACTTAAACTCACTGGATACTCATTAACACTGAGATACTATTTTATACCAATTAGCTAGTAATTACTTAATCATTATTCGTTTCTGATAGTTGACGTATAACGGTTTGTAAGACGTCACGAAAATACAAGTTACGAATGAATATGGAAGTTATATAATTTTAGATAGGTTATCTATAAGGTTTTATTAGTAGTAGATTTATCGTTCCATTATATTGTCCGTTGTTAACCTCATAATGACTGAACGATATCAACTCAGTGATTGTATAAAGCATTGAAGTTTAATAATACACTGACTCGGAAAATAATGTTACCCAAGTTTTTTAAGTCATACAGGAAGAAGATAAAAGCACTTGGTATTGTTTTACTTGAATCTTCCTATTGATGTTTTAGGACTGAAATTGATCAGTCTCTTATTTGCATATGTGTATACTGTGCGTATGCATTGATATTGCCTTAATTTACAAGCATTATAAGCAAAGATGGATAGTGGCTAGCAGTGGAATCCAGGACGCGCGTTTCGTCTTGTTTGGGACTCGCTTTGAGGCAAACGGTACTGAGTTCGAGTTCCAGAGTGAACATCAACGCTGATATGCGGGTACATCCAGCTGACGAGTCCCAAACAGGACGAAACGCGTCCTAGATTCCACTGCTAGCCACTATCCATCTTTGCTTATAATGCTTGTAAATTAAGAAGATAAACGCATTGTAACATTATACACATGTATAAAATATGATCAAATTTACACGTGATTAATTGACAGAGACAAATATAGGGGTGACAGATTAAGTGGAAAGATTAGAATAATTCCTTTGTCCAAATATTAAAATAAATCACGTGGGCGTGTGACAATACCGAGCACCAAAGATTTAGCAAACAGACAAGGAAACTTACCACATTCAAATTTATTATCACTGAGAATACTAAGACCTATCGTCCATGCTGTAACTTAGTAACCGTTGCTAAATGATTCGTAAAAGGCTATGACACTTCATGCATTCAACATCTCCTTATTACGATCTGAAAGTATCTCACTATCAAAGGTTTTTATATATTTGAATATAGTTTTCACTAACTGACAAAGAATAGTTTGTTCTCAAAAACGCAAAACCCCTGTAATAGTATGATCATTTCTTGAAAATAGAATTAGAAGGCTAGTTCATAATAATGAATAGATTATGATGCGTTTGTCAACAGTCATCTCTATAAAATGGTGAATACTAGCTTAGACCATAAAAACTAAATGAATTTAAATCTTCTATAACAGTCTTACTCAAATTATTCTACCTCAATAATTTGAATATTAGTGATTAGTGGTTATGTTGTAACTCTGTTATTAGCTGAAGTGGCTGTTGATGTACGAGTTCACTTTACTCCTGGTGAATTACGAATTCAACCTGGTCGAGCATTCCGTTTGGAATGTGTGACGGATAAACCGGGCACATCTCCAGTTTTACAGTTTCTTGATGGGAGACCAATAACAAGTGACCCAAGATTTGTGGTTTCTAGGCCATCAACTGAACGTGCTATCATAGACGTTCCTGGAGGCCTTGATGCTAGAGACAGACAGATCATAATCGAGTAAGCTTAAATTTATTGACAATGCTCATTCACATATTTTAATTATGTCATTACTAATTTCTGCTAGTTGTAGACTTATTGTAAATATTACTACAATTCAGGTTAAAATAGATAGTCTGTTTGTACGTAAATAGATAAATTAATCGGAAAAACTGAAAAGAATTCAATGAAAAACCACTTTTTTAAAGAACAAAACTAAAAGTAACCGGATTCATATTTCACAAATATTTCATTGTAGGTTTCTTAGTTTACTTTTTCTAAATTAAATTTAGGCATTTAATGTTTATAAAAATCTACAAATTAAATATTGTTATAGTTAAAATCACTAATCGACCATAGCTAGACCACTAATGGAAACCTGAAAGCGCAAGACGGCAGTTTCATCCTAGTTATGAACTCCCCAGCAGTGTTCATCCCTTCTTAAGATGAGGGGATCAAACTCAGGACCTTCGGTCTTGCACACGAACCCTTAACCGCTAGACTCCATACCATTAATAACCATGTGTCTACTAATGACTAGCTTCAAGATGTAACTCCTGGAGTTTTATTGAGGAACCATGACCAACGGAGTCCAGTCCGTGTCAAGTGTGAAAGAGTTATCCACCTCAAACAAAAAATGAAGGGTTGTGCAAGATCATGGGGTGATTGAAGTCAAACATTAATAACATTGGATACTGACTGAGTGATCTATAGCGCGATACCGAAATTGCTGTGTTCGATTACGGAGTGTGAAATTGTGGATGAACACTTTTGAGGAGTCCCACACTGGGATAAGACGCCTATCCAATGCTTCCAGGTTTTGAATGGTGGTCTAGCTTAGATCAAATCGTGATTTCAACCTTGAAAATACTACAATCTCGACAACCCCCCATACCAATGAATTAAATATTTATCGTGTATTATAGTTGTATGATCTTACTTGATTAAGAAATTAAAAGAACCTCAACCACTCTCTTATTAAGTTCTGTAACCTGGATTTTCAAGCACTTCGATGAAACAGACTATTTTTTAATGAGCATTTTTAAAAAACTGGGCTTACATGATTATGTGAGTTATCTCAGCCGGTAAACGAAACGGACGCCCAGTGCTTCCAGGTTTTCAATTGTGGTGGTCAAACATCAATCGGTTCATGATCTCAATCAAAAAATAAAAATCTGTTGGTTATGCCTTGGCAACTAACTCATTAATCGATTCGTACGTATAGTCTTCTGCTAGGTTTGAAGCTTAGTATGCGAACGGAACAAAGACTTGTGACCGTAGACCACTAAGCCAGCTATTTTAAGCGTCCTAGCTCCGCTAATTAGAGGAAGAAGTCAAAGCTTGGAACGGGGAAGCATATTCCGTAAGCCAGAAGCACGAGTGAATAATAACAGACACAAATTAAACGTATACATACAGCATAAAACTGTCCTTGAGAAGTGTAGCAAAAATAGCATACTACACAACGGACCAATAGCGTTAAAGATTCTCCCAAGTGGGAAATACGAAATGAAGGTGAAAAGTGCGCTGTTGACGCAAAAACAATGAAATTTAAATTTCCAAAATAAAATTATGAAATTAAGGCATTTACCATGTGAGTTCTGGGGATCTAACATCCCCAACACCTTCTAAGCGGTGAAGCAAACGAGGATTACAAAATTTAAATTAATACAGGAGTGAACAATAAATGAGTACTAACAGGTATATAACCAAGATGTTTGTTTTTCAGATCGTCGCAGGAAACAAATGTAACCGTTATCCAATTACTTATTGCAGTCTTTTACAAACTAAAATGTTTGCCAAATGACATGTTAGTTTACATCTTTAATGTCTCCAGTGTTATAACTTACCAGATTCAATAGAAGATCTAACAGCCAAAGAAGATGAATTTAAATTTTCTTAGTATTTTGTTGAGTAAATTAGCCGTACTTATAGTTCAAGTCTAACTGTAGTATATTAAAATCAAAATAGGATTTACTATATTGTATCAAATTGAATGTTTACTCCGAAATAAAACATATATTCTAAATGCCAATCTTGCTAATTGGTAACTTAAACCAATTCCAATTCATTATCAAAACATGGAAGTAGATTAACCCCAGTTGCTTACTGACTTTTTAAATTTCAGATGTGTATCTCCCAGTGGTGAAAGAAAAACATCAACCATCTTCATCGAACTAGGTTGTCAACCAGGACAAAGACGATGTCCCAGTGGGCAGTGTATATTTGTTGGTCAATTCTGTGATGGGAAACCTGATTGCGATGATGGATTTGATGAGAAACCTGAAAACTGTGGTATATTTTTTCATATTCTGTATATTATATATCCTGATTACTTATTCCCGAATTTCTGCTGTCAGTAGATACTTACTTTTTTACTTAGGCCTGTTATCACCTATGGAGCTTAGGCTGCCTACCAGGATCTTCTAACCAACCTTGTCATCAGACAATCAGTAAAAAAGCTCCCATAAGTCATAATTTGAGTCACATTATGACAACTGTCAAACCTGTATTTCAGTGTGTTTTGAAACTTTTTAAATAAACAAAAGTTTAGAAAATATACGGATTTGCGAAAATATATCAGCACTTATTAAGTAGGGTAGAAGGAAAATAACATAGAATGGTCTAATCAGCAGAAACCATCTCCGGTTATAACCAGATCAAGGGTGACACTATATAACCCTCGATAGTACTTACATATTATTAGGTTGTAATATTAACAGAAAGTAAACAAATGCTATCTCACAGATGACTTTTCAAAGACAAGGAACCTTTTGAATAAACAATGTCAACAGATAAAATATGAACTGCATTCAGATGTCGTTCTCCGCCAAGACAGGTTTGCGTTATGCCCTGATGTCCAATCGTTATTTGTCTGACGACCATTTGTCACAAATTCTAAATCTGTTCAAATTGACGTCCTGCCGAAAGGAATAGCATCATATTATTATACACAACTCTGGAGTTAACGTTGAACATAAATGTTATTCACTGCGTGTATGATGAAACTTAACTTATTTTTATTATTTTGAATAGAATAGAGTTAACAGTTTTCTAATTCCTATGATTACAGAGTATTGTGATCCAATAACAAAACCATGCGAAGTTGTGAATGGTAAACCACCTAAAGAAAAAACCTATGAACTACATTGGAGGTGTGATGGCGAAGATGATTGTGGAAATCGGTTTGATGAACAAAATTGTCTAAATGGTAAGTATTTGTTTGAATAATGAAACTCAGAATATACATGTACAGAATGAGATAACATTTGTTGAATGACTTTAGTTCATTTTACAAATAACATGTTAGTAAAAGTTAAATTATTATTATCGAAATACCATTAATTTTCACTATGTAAATGTTTTCAGTTGTAATTTCTTAGGAAATGATGATACGAATTTTTATGTGGACGTTAGTGATAAAATGTTAAAACACAAATACCAAACTGTTAAAATATGTTATCGAATTGACGATAATTAATTTGTAACGAATCAAATATCATTATTTTTTCTGGTTAGCGTTTTTTTCAGCAAGTTATTTTTCTACGGGATGGGGTCGCTAACCCCATACCCAACACTACTCCTTTATCCGGGCTTAGGACCGGTAGTAGCTCCAGGGGGACTTCAGGCGGAGTTCAAATATCAGATGATTGTTATCATTTCTCGTACATATTCACTAACGATATTACTTATTAGTGATCTAATTGCAGTTTTACTTAAACAGCAATTTAATTTACAACTTATATTTTACTTTCAGACACTCGTGTACCAGATAAAGAGTGTGGTGCTACTCATTTCAGATGTGGTACTGAACCATATCAGTACATACCGTTTGCATACTGGTGTGATGGAGGTCGTGATTGTCGAGGTGGTGAAGATGAAGCTGATTGTTGTAAGGAAATAACTTCAACTTTTCGGTATTTTATTTTTCATTTTAGTAATCATCAGATGAAAATAGTTTTGTATATAGATGTTATATTTAGAAAAGAACTAACATAGACTTAGCTGTAATTTCAGTGGTTGAGATCATGAATCAATTAAAGCTAGGTCACCATGGAAAACCTGGAAACACTGGATGGCCGTTTCGTCCTAGTATGGGACTCCTCAGCAGTGCGCGTCTACGATCTTGCCTCGCAATATTCCAACCAAGGACCTATCAGTCTCGCGCGTGAGCGCTTAACCTCTAGACCACTGAGCGACATCCAACGGTGTTAACGTCCAACTTCAACCAATTCACGAAGTTGCGTTACCGTCTACCATTGTCACCAGTGAGTTACTATCTCACAGCAGGTTTTCCATGGTGGTCTAGCTTCAGTTAACTCATGATTTCAACCAATAAATTGCTATAATATCCAAAAAACCTCTCTCTACTTATATATTTCTCAAGGTATTTACAAGTAAAACTAAAGTTTGATTAAACATAAAATGATAGTTCCAAATAAAACAGAGCCAAAAAATCAATATGAATTGGAGAGAACATTAAATTATTACATCAGCTTAGGTTGTAAAATGGTTTACAAATAACACATTTTCAACTAATTAAAACAGCTTTCGAATACTGGCTTTAAAAAAACAGTAATAGTTAGTACATCTGTGGTGTGTACTACTTATATTGATATAAGTAGTATATGACGCGAGTTAAAGAACGTAATGTCTGGCAGCAGAAGATGGTAAAAGATCAACAAAGGAAGAGCGGGAACGCAATGTAATTTGTAAAAAAATGCATGAACAATGAAATGTGAGATAATGGATTGATGACTGCAACAGGAGCAGTCCAGTTTGATATGATGGATTGATATTTCGCAAATTAACGATTTACTATTTGGTTTTTCTATTTTATAAAGTAACTCTGTAATTTTGTGCCAAACACAATTCGATTTTCCCCACCCTTGTTCTGTTCACTACATATGTTTTTAAATCTCTCGAAAGATTATAAGTAATGCACTGCAAACTGCACTGCAGCTATAGCAAACAGATTATCGATTAAAGTGTGGAAACACTTGTCTATTTATGAATGAAGTATTTTATACATAAAAGTGTTGAATACAATTCTGCGAGAATTTTATCGCTTCTATACGCAATGGCTACATTTTTTGTAATTCAAATATCTTAAGTGAGTATTACATTTGTAAAACTAGTGATGAAAACTGTTTATTGGTTAATCTTCATTAACTTAATAACAAAAAGTCCTACCTAATTACAAGTATGTTTCAACACTTTAAATAAATTTATTTCACTTATCCACAACTATTTCAACAATTTGAGTTAAGATATAAAATAGCAGTAATCCTGTAAGAACACTGAAGAAATTCATCTTCATTACATGAAAACACATCAAAATGTGTTCATTTCTGTTTTATTCTTTATAAAACCTACGATATGTTATCAATAATTTGTTAACTGTGATTGACAGTGGTGAATATTGACTTGGATTGTGTGTTCAAATGATTGTAAGTGCAATAATACAACTACTGAAGGAGATTTTTGTGCATCTATAAAATGTTTCAAAGTAAATATCACTTATTGTAGTGTTCATCATCAGCATAGTGCACGTCAATGTTTTAGCTGATACGTTTTTTGTTTAAAATCATTTTTATCATACTCAAATAATAATCAAAATAGTTTTTGAAATTGATTGCCAGTGTTTCAATCCCCTTTCAGCCCCACCTACCATAATTCAAACTCAACGTCAAGAAACTCATAGAGTTCGTCCTGGTGGTAGACTGATTTTAGAATGTGAAGCATCCGGTGTTCCACCACCTATGATCATTTGGCGTTTCAATTGGAGATGCCTTCGTGATGAAACACGAATGAGGACCCAAGCTGTGCCAAGTTCGCTTGGATGTAAGGGTTCAAAGAGTCGTCTAACAATCGAAAATTTCAGGGAAGGTGACGATGGGATTTATAATTGTGAAGCACTGACATCGAAAGAAAGAGCTATGTCCCAGGATATATTTGTTTTTCTATCTCCTTAGTTATGTTTTCATTTTCACGTGATATTATGGAATATCAAGTTGAATGAATAGTTATATTATCATTTTATCATATATTTTTAAAATTAATTTAATTCTTTGTGTCAAAATAGCAATGTTCTGAATTTCAAAATAGTATATCTTTCAATCATCTTACAAACAATGTATTAATTTTGACGTTTGAAAATCTAATTCCCAAGTTATACATTATTCTGTTATATGAAATTTAAAATATAATGCTTATTTGAAGAGATACTAACTTTTAGTACACCATTTACATAGTTTTAAGCTTAAAGATCAAAGTTTACTTATTTAATTACTTATGCTTGTTATCCGTCAAGTGGGAGCATAAGCCACATAGTTGTTTCACATTTCCATTTCTTACAGATTTGTGTGCTGTCGTTGCTAGGTCTTCCACGAATTTCTGTTTGTCAGCTCTAATGCTCCTGTAAGGCTTGGAACTTGTTGTCGAGAGTTATCTTGAATTCGTTGATTTTCTCAGTATGTCGAAGGAAGGCTGTATTAAACCTTTGTAATGCTGCTTCTCCCGTTGTCCATTAGTTCCGTAGCTTCAGTTTCGTCTTGACAACCACCAGCTGGTGCTGATTTGAAGCTATGTCAAGTCCTCTCCTGTTTCTCAGTTTTTCCATTGACCTGAATTCTTCAGTGATACAGATATGATCGATCTGATTCTCTGTAGTTTGATCCGATGAGACCCATATAGCTCTGTGTATGCGTCTGTGAGGAAATTTAAAGCCATCTATAACGAGTTTGTCAAATGCACCTAAATCTCTTAACCTGTCACCATTCTCATTCGTTTTTCCCAGTCAATCCATATCGTTCAATGAAATCTGCATAGCCGGTGTCCTCCATTCTGACTTTGGCGTTTATATTTCCTATTAGGATTGTCAGGTCCTTTGTTGAGCATTTTGCTGTGATTGATTGCAGCCTCTCATAGAACTGATCTCTATCGTCGTCGCTGCTATCATAAGTGGGTACATAACACTGGATAATATTCATTTGATTCCCTTCTTCTTTGTTTTGAAGGATGCTTTGATGATTCTAGATCCGTGAGTCTCATCCTATAAGTGTTTTACATGGTTCTTTGTACAACATCAGAGAAAATGCCTGAGTGTGTAGAGAATATTCCTCTCTGTGACCGGAGTACAATAGCATTTCTCCCGTACCTAACTTTTGATGTCCAGCTTTGGTCCAATGTGGTTCACTCTTTCCGAACACCATCAAGTTGCATCTCCTCATTTCCATAGCTATGAGGCTGGTACTCCCGGTCTCTCACATTGTCCGGACATGCCATGTACCTTTATTAGTTGTTGTTCTGGTTGTTAGGTGCAAGGGTTGTTTTCTACGGGTTGGAGTTGCTGACACCACACCTAGCCCCGATTACCCGGTCTTGGAACCGGCAGTAACCCTAGAAATGCTACAAGCAGAATTCAGGGATTAAAAGAATCTTTGAAATATTTCCAAGGATCTAATACATATAATGTTGAATATGACCAAAACAACAATTGAGACGGAATAATATGAATCTATTATATTTCGTGGTTTCCGCTTAACTGTCTAAGACCACGTATGTATTAATATGCAGCACTGATATACGATACAATGTAAAGCAATTGACAATCATGATAAAAAGGACCAGAATGACAAATATCAGTAATCACTATAGGTTTGTATATTTAATGTGTGGTAGCGGAAGCAAAATATGACTAGTATGATATAATGTGGTCCAGTCTATGTACAGCCTTTCGAATGGGCATTCAGTCTAGTTGTACTATGAACTCGATCCCCAGCCTTATTATCGTATTATAGTAGTGTTGAGGAGAACCAGAAAACTCCTTTAAAAAAACCGAAAAAGGCTCTGAGAACGTTGAGAAGCATCTTATCCAATCAGCATTCAATAGACGTTTTTCCATGAACATATAGAAAGTGAAAAGTCACATGTCGTGTTTCTGACTGAATGATTACCCATACTGCTACTATGTTTAGGAACGTTCCAGAGATTTCCGAAAGCTCTACGTCATCTAAAATACTATAAATACCTTAGATTTTCTGTACATAAGCATAAACTTTGGAACAAAGCGCTTCTTCCGTATTTCGCGCCTTTTCTCTCGTGTTCAAGTCACTGTGAAGATTTAGCCTGGGGGTTAACAGAAGTGCTTAGGAACTGAATCCAGAGTTACATTCGAAGACTTATCAAGTAGTATCCTGCAAGAAAAATCTGATCTGGTTATCAATTTTTGCTCCCATTCTGGGAGTGATGCCATAATCTTTTGCCGCAAACTATCAACAACATAATCAGTACAAACTTCAAGTAGAAATGACAGAACAAGCTGTGAGTCATATGTGGAGAAATTCAAACACTTCACTTGTACCTGAAGTTTGTGTTAATGTTCTTCAGAAGAACAATGAAAGCCGTACGACCAAACCATCTAGCTGAGAGAACAAAACTTCACCTAAATTATTCACCTGAGTTACAAATATCCACAATCTTAAAGTATCATTTTATTTCGTGAATTTTGCTGACGTTTAAATTACATTATTTATTGATTTTAAGCAGTGTAGAAAAAATAGGAAGAGAAAAATATCCTTTTATTTCTTTCCATAAAATTAAGCATGAAAAGAAGAAGAAACAGCAATTATGTCTGAAATAATTTTTATGCAACTTGTTGAATTATTTTATCACTGAAGGCACGTTCCATCAATTTGATATCCACAGTGATTTTTGGATGTTGTACCATAAATTCAGCTGCAACTTTGGCTTTGATTAAATATTGTATAGACTTGTAAGTAAAGAAATAAAATACGCAAGACCAATAATAAATACAATAGTAATGGGAGAAATTATGTGACAATACTTTTTTGGTAGTTTCACTTATATAGCTTTGTTTCGTCAAAAATTCAAATGCATATTTAGTAGGATTTTGAAGATATCCATTGAACATCCCAAGTTTGGATACTTTATAAGTAGTTTGGCAATGTATAGAAATCATGAACCGATCAATGCTAGACCACCATTGAAGACCTGGAAGCATTATACGGCCGTTTGGGATTCCTTAGCAGTGCGCATTCACGATCACGCAAGCTAGATTTGAACACGGAAACTTCGGTCTCGCGCGAACGTGAAATTCAACAACCTCCGCACCCCATACTGAAAATTACTATGTGCTCACTGGTGACTAGCTTTGAGAGATAATTCTCGGAGTTCTAGTGAGAAGCTGTGATCAGTGAAGTTTAACCGTACCGGGTATGAGACAGCCACTCACTGAAACAATGGAAGGTGGTTGCGGGGTCGTGAGTGCGCACTGCTGAGGAGTCCCATACTAAAACCAAACGGTCGTCTAGTGCTTTTAGGTCTTGAACGGTCTAAAATTGATTGGTTAATGATTTCAATAAAATCGAAAAATTTCCATAACTCTATACTGAAATTTTGACATTGTTCTATTTTGTTGTTAATGTGTAGACAAGCTAACTTACATACGTCACTTCTAAGATTTAATTAACGTGTTTCAATATATCTTCATTCAAACGAAATAAAGGGTTCCAGTAACATTATTTCTACATACGTCAGATATGAATAGGCTACACTAACTGGTGGAGAAGTACGTTAATAAGAACCTTTATAGAATACGTTAAAATTGGATTCTTTTTTCGAAACTGATAAATGCTTACTTCTTGCTTTCTTTCTAAAATATAGTTTAGCATTGACAAAGTCAAATACAATTGAACTTTTGGATCTGGCTTGGCTGGATTACAAGTACTTGCATTAAGCTCATTTTCACTGATACGCTGATTATGATATTTCTCGATTGCATACAGCATTTTTTCAGCTTCAGCTTTTTGTGCATCATCTGTTAATTATAATCAGTATATTTTGTTTATTCAAAGATACAATAATAAGATGTCTTATTAGTTGGGTACATACAAAAAAATTAATTCTTGTCTTAAATACTTACTCGACTCAAATCACATAGCTCTTCTAGAAGTAGCTTTCAGAACTATTTAAAAGGTATGACAGTTCAACTACAAAAGAATACGAGTACTAAAATCACCATCTTAAGTTTGATGCTTGCAGTCCCTTATTTTACCTTGATCTTAGAAAATGGCATACAATCAAAACAACTTTCTAATTTCATAAGTTATTACTTCATTTTTTCCTTATTCACTTTTGTCTGATATTTACGAAGTAGACAGTTATCATTCATGAATGATCTGTTTATAATTTACTGTTTTGGATTATCATTTAAACTATCAAGCAACTTATCTAATCAATGTAAAACATTTTCAGTTACCTTTTTACTAATCCAATATCGTTCTATTTTATTAAACTTATTTATGATATGAAACTATAAATACAATTGTACAGTTTCAGTGAATGATTTTTTCGCAGTACAGTATATCTATCATTTCATGTTTAAAGGTAATTTATAACAAAGTTGTACGAAAACATATTTGCTCTATTGTACTTATTAGTGAAGAATATTGAGAACCTTGAACAATCTGATGTTTTCTAAGATATTCTAGTTACATATGACCAAGTAGTTGAAAACTAAATAGATCACGGCTAACTACATTAAAGGACTGAAATAGGTAAAGTAATCATACAGTGAGTAGTAAATAACATCATATTTAGTAGTTAACGTTGTAATTAATTTTGTTGTGAAAACAGTCGCAAAGATATCATGTTAACAATTATTCTCTTTATTAGTTATCCAATAAATGAAGCGCGAAAAATGGATGCTACAATACTACAAGACAAGTTCGACAATGACATTCCTTCATTATATCAATCAGTAAAACTGATAATTTATGGAGTTTCAAAAGAAAAGGGGGAAAGACAGAGAAGTAACCACTATTAGATGTTCGGTACTCTACTGCTAAGTACACAGGGAAAAAATAATAATAGACTAAACATTGAATGGTAGTTTTAAAAAAAAAACTAGTTAACATTATGTCTACTACGTTTTATTTAAAACCTTTTATCGAGTTGACAGTCATTAAGGTGATATAATACAAACTATCAAACAAACGTAGCATATAAGACAAGACATCAACCATGATTAGTAAATTCGAAGTAACTCGTGGGAATGTCAACTCACTTTTAGGCAAAAAAACTGCGAAGCACTATTGATTATAAGTTGTGAAAACATACACTGTTAATTCGTGTGAATGAGTCTCTAGAACATGTAGACTACATAATATTGTTATTTCACCCCTTAAAGTTTTGTTCGATAGTAAGTTTGTCCCGATAAAAAGTCCATTATATTCTTGACTTTACTAATTTATTCCATATGACAGAATCTATAATATGACTAAATTTGTTTATTTAATCGGAACAAAGTGGATTCGACTACTAAGACAGCCAATTATGATTAACAGGTTCTCAAAGCCCAATACAGACCAAAGGGTTGAGGCAAAATACATAGAAAACAGTAAGATAATAACATACTTACAAAAATTGTACACATCTCCAGAGGAATGTGATTTGATGGAAATAATAGGGAAAAATGCAGAAACCTGTTGCCAGTGGAAGGTAATAAACTTCCAGATTAATTGTGGACAGATCATCAGTTCGAAATGGAAACAACAGCAACAGTTTGCGCTCTTGATGCTTTATGACATCAGCTTAACCATAATAATACACTTTTAAGTCATTTTCGAGTAATTTCCTAGGTTCACTACAATGGAGTTCATTTAAAACTCAAAACCTACATATAAAATACTCCAGATGTAGAAAATAACAAGTCCTCGAATTTTGTAGAAACTTTCTGCACAGTAGGCCTTACAATCTGAAACACTGAACAAAAGTTAGTTTTGATATTAGAACTAAGTACGTGTGAAATTTGTACTAACTAATTATTCCTCTGTACTAGATTGTGTGCTTCTTACAAATTCTAGATACGTCCAGTTGTGCTCATCTAGTTCTACCTGCCTTAAACTGCACTATTTCGGGAATTTTTATTTGGCAAATCAACTTGGAATCCTGAAGGAAAATGGAAGAGGGGAAGGTCAAATAACACATTGGATCGGGAACTGGAAGCAGACATCAAAAGGATGAACAGCAACTAAAAACAACCAGAATGGTTTATCTAAGACAGAGGTCGATGGAGAATGCTGGTGGGTGGCCTATGCTGCTTCATGAAGAGTAACAGGAGTAAGTAAGTAGTTAGCAAATCAACCTGAATACTTCTAATGATCATAGTAAGGTATTGTTTAACATGTCATTACCTAGGGTTTGTTTAGCTTTTTGATTAGTCTCCACCATAATAGCACCAACGTCTTCAGAGAACACAGGTTTGAATAACAAGCTTTCTACTAATTCCCTTAAGTATCTGGCCCATATATTAACTACGCGTGTATACAAATTTTCAACTACTTGAGCTTTTGATGAAGGCGGTTGAATGCAAAACTCTGAGTTTGTTGAAAGACTGTTGTTTGATTTCGTTTTCCTTTCATAAATCAATGAACCGTGAGACTTATTTTGTTTATTTATTTCTGAAATCTCCGGCGTAACCGAAGGATATACAAATTCAGTTGACTTTTCTGGAAAGTTTTGATCAAGAGAACCTATGTTGCCATTGGCTTTATACATTGCATAAAACACTTCAGCCATATGAAAATAACCACCAGCCGTGCAAATATGATCGGTGCCATATTCGAGGGATGCATAAAATATCTACAAATAAGATATAATAATGTTAAACGCAATATTGAAGAATGAGTAGATACCAAATAAAGTTATAGGACATAAAATACGAGGAACATACCGAGTAAATCAGTAAAGTATGATTCTAGATAGTGGTTATCATGAAATGAAAACAATTTGTTACTGTTTGTAGTTCGCAAATTTTGGCGGAGTCAATGACTAGCGTTCATTGTACCATAAGTTTTCTTCTAACTGGGTCCAGAATTGATAATCAACTTGATTATCAACTCATCTCATTATTTTAACTTTGACTTCCCATAACTCGTCGCATTAGTTTAAAATGTATTTAGAGGCATACCTACACATATGTTCGACAGTACTGAAATATTCATTAATTTTAAGAAAGAATAAAGAGCTTAGTAGACTCACATCTTTCGCCAAACTCGCCAATGCTAGTTCATAATTCCCTTTAGCAGCATATAACAAACCAAGTTTACGATGTAACTGTGATTGTATACTATCTGTGCATCCATGTTGTGCTTTGAGTACTATCCACTGAGCTTGTGCAAGGTAAGTCTCAGCTTGATTCAGTTTCCCAAGACCTAGATGGTAAAAATAGTAATCAAGCTAATACGCACATTGTTTATTATTTCTCATGATCTCTCGATCATCACGTTTTGCAGTCATTATTTCTTTGAACTTACTCAAAAGATTGATCTAAAACACAACAAGTACTAGAACGTGTATAGCCATTATAAATAGACAGTTGATAAACAATTAAAACAGAAAACTAGGAACAAAAACACCTATACTATTTATGTTGAAGTGACGAAGGGAAATTTTGTAATGACTCATGTGGCTGTGTTTAGGGGAAACATTTCCCTTAGAAGTGAAACTAAAGGTTTCTACAGATATTCTTTGCATTCACCAGTTCTGTAAGATATTTATATAGAAATTATATGTAATCGTATTCTTAGAAAATGACCTACTACTTAAAGGCCTTCAAAACATTTGGAGTACAGATGAAAGGTCAGAGGCTCTGTGGATATAAAAATCTTTATCAGATCTAAAGACCTGATTTAAAGATCTGTATTAGTGATTCTTAACTTACCAAATGTAGGTTGCTGCTTCAGAACCAGTCACCAAAACTGTTTGATTATAGAAAGTGGGATGGTTGAGTAAGGTTGTCATCCTACCTGTGTGCGGAGAACTATCAATCCTGATTAGCAACAAAATTCTGGGAGTGATAAGTCTTTCCTAGCAGTAACCAAATCTTATCACCTGTAGCCTCACTTTGATTCCTGAAAGCTCGTCAAAGAGCAAGCACAATGCTAAGTAGTAGTACGAGGTAGCATCTAAGGCTGCCAGCAATTTTTTGACCCTTTAATGAAAATATAGGACGAATTTTAAAGAAGATCCAGATGTGCAACCATCTGACTGTGTTTATAGGCAAACACCGAGACGCTAGAGATTTAATAAAAAAGTGTACACTGAAAACACATTAAAGAATTTAGAGCACAATAATCTTTCATATCTTTTTGGGAAGTATTTTACCAATGGCTTAACTACTTACCAATACATGATTCTGCAAGAACTAGATAGGGTGATACTAATTCAACACAAGCTATTCCATATGCACGCACTGCAAACTTCAAACACTGTAAAGCAGCAGGTAGGGCTTTCTCTGATTTTCCTTTAAACAAAAGTTTTCGACTCTCCAGCTGAGTGAGCCGGACCAGATCAAGCTGAATAAATTAAATAACACGAAAACCTTGAACCAGTAAACTATGTTTTGAATCTCATTCTAAATTTAAGACGACATAATTCAATATATTTGAGATACAATAGTACAATTGAATAACTACTCACACGATTCACCAATGTATGACTTAAGGAAACTCCTAATCCCGACTACTTAAGCAAACGCTTCAAACGATTTTTGAAGTAAACTACTTGAAAAAAACTTTCAATGGCTTACAACTATGAAGAAGTGTCATTCAAAGTGAAATTTCAACGAGCCAATGGAAAGATAATTGCGGAAGTAAAGCGGAATCAAGGTTCTCTTTTGAGAACTCAGCTAGGTATTGGTTGAACTTCACAAGTTATAGACTAGCCACTTACAATATATGTTTAGTAATTTGTGTTGGACTCAATGGCTGGGACGTCCCACCAAAACATGCGACTTAAGTCCAATTAGTGAACACTTGTAAGAGGAAATTGGATTTTCCATGGAAAATATAACACGAGGATTAACACAGGTTAACCGACCTACTATCTTTATTATTGCAGGCTAAATGTGCAACAAAGCTAATGAACTCACATTGCACCCAGTGAGTTCTGGATAGACAACTGCTATGGAATATGTACCTCATAATAATTGTCTATTTAGAGTCACCATCATAAAAAATGATTCTAGGTTCAAATATCATGACAACATTGTCTCAATAGGCAAGCGACCAACTGCGCACTATCTGAGTATATTGAAATATAATACTAATTATTAAAAAAACAAAGTACATTTTGTACTCGAATCCACTACCAAAATGTTTTACATTGGTACCCATATCGCATATCCCAATGTATCACAAGTATGATAGAGGCTTCTCACCAAAAATAATTGTACATGTGCAATGTAGATGCACTTACATTTTTGTTTTGAAGTTCTTCGCTTTTCTTCTCACGCTTGTCCTTTGATACAAATCCCTTAGATTCTCGAAATGTTATTAAATCCAGACATATCTTTTTATGAATTCCTACCCAATCAATTTTTTGATGCTCTATTCCACTAGAAATATAATGCATTCATATGTTAATGGTCAAACCAATAATACGTGATCCGGCATACCCCACATTGTAAGCATGCTGGTTTAGAGCATACTTCACAGCCATGCTCTTCGCCTTTTGGGTTTGCAAGGGGATAAAGTGAAAGAGCTGCTGGGGGATTTTTCATAATTGCATGTAACGTTCAGCCTTTGATAGGTCTGCGTCTAGCCTAAAGGTATCTTGTAGGCTGGAGAAGTGGGGGGAACAGTATGTAAGAGAATTTGAAAGAGAAAGGAACAAAAGAACAAGTGAGCTGATAAATCAGTAAGCGCAATACTTTTTGAACAATCTGATCACATGTATACTTGTTAAGACATTTTTATATTAAAATTAAAATGTCAACTAGATGGGTTAAAGGTAAGCCGTAATGAAGAAAAGAAGTATTAAACTACACAAAAAATGTAATTACCACTCTGGATAATAAGTCAGTATTACCAGGGTAGGTTAAGTATAAGGAAAAATTATTTTTAAACGCATAAAGAGGGTTTCAATTTCCTTATAGCCAAGGCTTCAATAAACCTTAGTATACGTCCTTGAAGGTTTTTGTATAACAGTACAAATGTTGACCCGATGTCAACCTTATGACCAGTCTCAATCATTCAAGTAACACATATTACTTCTGGGTGGCCTATGCTCTATTGGGAGTAACAGGCGTGAGCAAGTACTTAAGTACTGTTGCCTCTGAGGCGACTATAAACGCAAGATTAATACAAGTCACTACTAGAATCAAGGGGTTGAAAGTGTAAGGCTTTGGATGCTTTACGACGTAACGCATATAGCGGATTGTTTTTAGCCAGGATCTACTTTGTGTACTAGGGGAGCATGGTGAATACAGTAAAGGAAGATGGAGAAAAGAACAAAAGATAAGGTGGGTCGATGATCCAGAAACAATACAAAATGCATACACATTTAATAAGAAAAGCAATAGGGAACAATCAGCAACGATATAGGCCACAAGTTAAGACAATTTTGAAATCAAAACTGTGAGTAGGTTATTTGACCCGCTAGAATGAGTCAATTTTAAAAACCTGCCGCGAGGTGTCATAGCTACGACCTGGATACCTGCCCAAGTTCTAATTTTTGCCTATTTCACCTCATTAATTATGTTTTTAATCCTATGACATGTTCAGGAGCGTACTTACAAAGTTTGCGACATGTATTGGTTAATAAATCTCCAAAACTAAAAGTTTTGTAATTCTCCAACAGTGACGCTGATCCTATCTGTTTTACTGGACACACAACAAATGAAGGCGCGTGATCACCCATCCGCACCAGACTATGAATGGATATATTGTTCTACACATCCATTGCAACTACTAGCCAGCTTAGACCAAACGATTCTCGACATATCTATAACCGGCTAAATCCATTTTCGAACTCCTTCATATCTGACTTCTTATTTGACTGCATTGTCATACTTCAATTAAAACGGCCTTACGTTTAAAGGCGTTATTGAACTGCGGATACCTGTAGCATCTTTAATGGTGAGCCTGGTGTGACTTGGTACACAAAACGATTAATTGTGATTTTATTCCTTGTCGTGACATTACGTCCTTTTTAGAGTTTTACATATTGTGATATTACTTTCGTATTCTCGTACTCTTGTTTTTCTCGACTACCTGCATATATTCACATTGCTGAGAAAGACACCAAAACTATTGACTTTTGAGTCTTATGCTCCCCCTCCCACCTTTCAGTTTATATCACTCTGGTCTGATAATATCGAACCCTGATTCTGCTTCGCAAGTAGTCCAGGAGCACGTCGTGGTAGATGCGCGTGCGTGATCCCCCGCTGTAGTGAAGGCATTTCCGCTAAAGTTTAACCACTATGTTATGCCCGGTGATGTTCCAGAACCTTATGGCACCTTAAAAAGCGCGATCTATAAAAAGGGAGACCTAACCGACCGTTAAAGTTCAGATAAGCTCTGCCACAACATAGAATTGAAGCACAGTTCAGAAACAAAAATTTCGCTGTGTGTGCGCAAGGTTATTGGTCAGTGAATCTTCAAAGAGGGTTTCTTTAGATTAGTCTTCCTATTTAGGTTTCCACGACGGATGCAGGCGGTTCTCAACTCTCTTCAAAATAATGCCGTAGACAAATTGAGGCATCTGCCAATCGGATTCTGGGGTTCACTGTAACTTCTAACACCGATGTTTTCACTGTTAAGGAAAGGCCTCGAATGGCACGAGAGTTCGTTATGAATCACTGTAATAGTCTTAATCGCTATCTTCGTATTCATCATAACTGCAGACTCTCCGAAACTCCCCAAAGGGGTTTGACACGGAAAAGATGTGTTCTAGGCCATGAGAAACAAATAATACTGATTGGTTATGGAAGCATGACAGGTATGATTAATTTTTATAGAAATTGAAAGAAACACTGCAGTTTTTCCAACTCAAAACCTTTCATCACGACAAACCTTTCAGGAAACTTCCCTGTAGGCACGTATTAATGGCAGTACTAGCCAATGAAAACAGCCATCTGTTACTCATCACTAATGTGGTGATAGAAGTTCTTCTCATAAATACCAATGACCGACTACAAGATCCGGTCTTCAGCCTGCAAATGGCATCCGAAAAACCGATTGTTTCATGTGGTAAAGGATATGTTTATCGTAAAGTTGATTTATGAGAACCTATTCATTGAAGTTTTGTTGTGACAGACATTTCTATGCCAATCATTTGTTTACACCTGCCACAACTCTATGATCTACGCATGGACCCAAATAAATGTACGCTAGTGTATGTTTGTGGAACTGAATTTCGTAGTTGTAGGTTATACCCGATTGCGGTTAGACGTATAATACACACTTTCAACGGACGCTCGACAAAAGCCACGAACTTTACAAAACTCGAGAAAAACTATTGTGCGTAGACAGAAATCACACACACCACATCCTGATTATAGTACAAACTGTATTTGTCAAAACGTCAACTGGCAACCGAGAAACTTTGACTGGCCAAGGCTGAATTTGAGCACATGATAGACTCGGAAATTATTCAGTCATCAAACAGCCTATGAGCATCTTCTGTGCACATAGTCCCTAAAGAGGACTTCAGTGATTAGCGTCTAACCGGTAGTTATCGACAACTTAATATGAAGATCACCCCTGATTGTTACTCTTTGCCGCACACCCACAATCTGACAGCTGCTTTGAAAGTTTGGAACAAACAGGATGATTAGTTAAGAGTTGATCTCAAACATTTAAATATATGTCGAAACAGTAGAGCTCAAGTACTCATTCACGTCCTTATTTTGTATAGTAATTACACTTTCTATTATCTTACATTTTGTGTTGAAAGGCCTCGTGTGTTTGGACAGATAACCTCGCAATCCACTGTGTGCCAACCACGAGCTAAAATAAAGACTTGTTCACTACTAGTCTGGCTTCTTCTAAAAAACAGAACAAGGGTTCCCTACAGTCACGAAAATGGTGAGCTATGTGTTGAACACAAATTTAATTTCATCTAACTTTGAATATTATTTTACTTACTTAGTCATGAAAGTAGACTTTCGGATTGTCCATAACTAAAATTCCACACATATGTTTACACGTAGTTTTTATCGCAAGTTATTCATGTTGTAGTCATTATTCTGGCCAGTTCCCATTATATTATTTGTTTACTTCTTAAATAGATGTAAAATTTTAGTCGACACCAGGAAACGACGTGTGGCACTGCAAGAAACTTTGAATTTCACAAGGGGTAAAGCAAATCACTTCAGATCTCTAAATTTGATATAAACTCCGACAAAAATGATGGCAAAATTCCAGGATACATGCACAAGTTGTTTATTCCCAAACAATCAGCCGAGTAATATGAGTAAAAAAACATATCAAAATGGGTGATTCACAAACAAACGAAGAACTTTCAACTGGGGTGGGTGATGTGAACAGGTTTTCCCTGCCGAATTACCATTTCCCTAAATTTCACCACTAATATTATACTGTGTGAAAGTTGGACAGAGACATCAGACAAATACCTTACGAACACTTATTATAAACCCAAACAATGAATCTTTTCAATAACGACAAGTTCTGAATGCATTCCAAACTATTTTAATATTTTTCTGGATAATTTATTGTGATTTTGTACTCCTTAACTTATATATATATATCATCTAGACTGGCCGTTAACATTTAATACTACTACTAATAATTTATTTTCAAACAACAGTTTGTTACGTGAGGCATGCCAGTTTACAGGCAAGATCAAATTGTTACAAAAGATACAATTTTCACTGTAGTAAATTACTCAGTTGGGTTGATATTTTGTAAGAAATGAATGTAGATGGATTAAGTAAGACCTAAGTTGTCAATGTCACAGTTGAAGCGCTTTACGAAAGTTGCGTTGCGACGTGCAACCGATGGTCGTCAATAGATCCATGTGAAAATGAGAGACTCTAGAAACCCCAACCCTATATCCCTCTGGAATATCTGAGGCTTCTATGATGGTGCACGGCGAAGTCACCCGTTCCATATCTGTTTCCGGTGGCATATCTCTAGTGGGCTGAAAGAGAATGTAAGAAAAAGAAGGGACGAGAGCAGAGCAGACAATATTCATGGACGGATACTTAAGGTATGACTACCTAGTCTAATTCTCTTTTCGTATAAACGACTCCTCAAACCGTTTTTAGAATAAGATATGTTTAGTAGCCTTATGCGACCAATACAACCACTGTAAAGTGGTTGTTAGTCGAAGCATTTTAGGTCAAACAATGGTTGAATACTTGTAATTGGTTCATTTTTACATGCTTATCAAGGTTATGCAACTCTGCCTGGAAGCCCTCCGAGGGCTGCTGCCGGTCCCAGGCCCGGATAGAGGAGGGTTGGGTATGGGGTTAGCGACCCCATCTCGTAGAAAACTAACTCGCAATAAAACTCAATCATATAGGTCAGTTTCACTTGCATCATCCAATTTTTTTCCCTTATTTTCAATTTCTGATGTTTCTGAACCAACGATCGTGACGGTGTTCTGTGCCGTCGAAAACCTTAGACATATAAAACAGCACTACCTAACTTATTTTCTATGGCTAATACTTAAATCAAAACCAAAAGTAGCTATCCATGAATGATATCTTGCCATTGCTTTGTTACGATTTGACAATCTCGTAATATGGTCGATTTAAACAATTAAACTAAGATCTAAATCAGTCGATAACCTGACTGATAGCTATTATTATTGTTCACAAACATCTTATGGGCACATAAGTGTTGTAAAGAAATCATTTAGGGTTTCTTCAGAAATATACACAAGTTTCAGTAATGTTAGCATTATATTTGCCATATTTGAAAAAGAGAGTCAAAGAAAAAGGAAAATATAATAATGACAGTACAATAATGATAAATCAGGTTCGGAATAATTGAAAAGAACATTGAGTTGACTTTCAAGAAGGAAAGGGAGAAAACAAAAGAGACGCGCAATACGTAAGTAGTTTAATAGGCGTGTTTTTGTGTGCATCGCCGAATGAGTAACAAAAATAAAACGATAAAAAATAAATTTTAAAAATAACTAAAAAATAACTTATCAATGCAGTAAGACATGACTGTAGGATGAGTTTTTGTGCAGTCATAATGTGGAGTGATGCTATGGAAGTATCAATTAATTGCAAAGGATAACCAAGTATTAGTATTGTAGGATCCATTTTGAATATTTGGTGTGTGTGAAAATCCTTACATGTACACACTTGCACTTTATTCCTATTGATTTCCTTAGTTGTACATTGGTTGTCTTTTTATTACATTTGAATTTTTAATATTTGTATTTTATTGTTTTTATTTTTCTTACGCCTGCATTAAGTTTTTTGTTTCTTCCCGAACTGCATCTAATTTGTTTTATTTGACACTTGTTCTTGGCGACAGCCATATTGATTTGCTCCTCCTTTTGCGCGTGTCCTATCTAGTCAGGATAGAATAGCGTTCATTTGTTGTGACTGCTAATTTTTCCCGCATCTTTTATCAACTTCTATATTTATTGTAATTTAAATTTGATTGATTGAACAATTATTGGTTGAATAGCCGGGTGGTAATA